GTTCATCGCCATGGCAATGGTATTAGTCTGATATGAGTTTTGTCCGATCAATCTCATTGTGGAATGTATGAATCATCATTATGTGTGATGAAATTGATAAAATTAATCTGATATCGTTAAGTAATATTCTATCTGATATTATTATAAGTAATGTCATCAAGTTATATTATTAAGTAATATTCTATTTTTGCGCATGGTATTGACATTATTAATTTACTTCCAGTGATTTCAGGAAATGGGATAAGTATAGAATATCATTTGGATATGTCTACCTGTACATGAGGGAAGGGAATTGCTTTATAAAGCGGGTGTGCGAGGGGGTAGCATTATAGGGCCCGCGGGAGGAGGATTAAGAGGGTTCGATGAACCTTCATCTTTAACTAATGGATTAATGGACTAATCATTGTCTATGACATATTTTGTGCACCTCAAATTCAAATTGGGGTAAAGAATCTCTTATGAATCTACTAATTAAAAACGGAGGGCATTCTGGCAAATGATCGGAGCAGTTAGCCCGGCCACCCCATCCTTATTTGGTAGGTATAGAATATTTGTTATTCAGTGGCAGACACTTCAAGTTTTGTTTTTATTAAAAAATGAGAAAATCACCTTGTAACCAAGTGAGTCACACATACGTAACTTTGGGATTTTTCTTTGTAATTTTTACTTTATAAAATATAGCCTATGGAGGGCTAAAAAAATATTTAAAAAAAATAAATAAAATAAAATAAATTGAAAAGGCCTCTGCCTTTCTTCACATCCGACACACATCTATACAGTAGTAGGCTGGCGTATACCTTCTCTTCCCTTCCTACTTTGATATGTATGATAAGAATCTAACTGGGTCAAAATGCAATCACCACCATGTAGTTAAGTACTCTATTTACATTCAAAACACAGTTTTCATTGATGGGCTGATAACACAAGCCCAGCTTGTCTGCTTAAATTATGCGGAAATAAATGAGGCATGGTAATAAGATGATCAATGAAGAAGGAAATTCATTTTTTCGGGATGATGAGGATAAAAATAGTCTTTATCTCATTTCGAGAATTAGGAAAGGACCGTTGGTGGTTTTTAAATATATTCCCTGCTACTGCTCTGATTACAAATTACTGCCATGCCCTAATTTCGTCATTCTATACCTCAAGTCAGGTTTGTTTTTCATTTTTGGTCTCGATGGGAAATTGGAATTATGTCGTTATCAACATTGATGAAATAGTCGTTTTCCCCACATAATATAACAAAATAATTACATCATGGCAACGCACTTTTTATGAGTGTATCCCAGGCATACGGTACTTTAAAAGATTCGCGATACGAATACTCTTCATTTACCTCCCGCCCACCTATCCCCCCCCTCTCTCTCTCTCTCTCTCTCTCCCTATATATATATATATATATATATATATATATCTCAGTCCTCAATCTCTCTTTATTTATTTCACTATACCGTATAATAATGAAAATCCATATCTGCTATTCACATTTTAGTATGTAATCATAGTATTTCTACTATCTGAGGATCTACAGTTCTATAAAACATCAATTAAATTTCATATTCTTGAAACCTGAGACTTGAAAATCTTGTCAATGTTTGGCTAGCTTAGGTGAGCATTCTGTGACTGATCGAATTTCATTGGTATGGCAACCAAGTTGAACATTATGTCTGCAAATTTGGCTTCTTTTCAGCCTTGTCAGAAAACGTGGATGTATCGTGGTATAGTGGTTCATTCACTTGACTATCTATCAAAAGTTAATGACCCTTTTTGATATTTTTTTTGCTGGTATTATAAGTGTTTTTTTTTAATGTTATTGATTAGGGAGCTTCTTTTTGCTTATCGGAAACTATTTTTGAACCATCTTACAGCAAACTTTTTTTTTTTTAAGTTTTGTCTTGTTGTCTTTTTATTTTGCTTCTCGGATTTTTTTCTTCAAAAAGATATTGGTTTGACACGTCAATTTTAAAATGGTCTTACTATACCCCTACTATTCTTCCTAAAAATAATAATAGAAAAACAATGTTCACGTAATAAAACATATATGATAACAAATATTTATGGCTGTAGGAAATTAAGCATTATTTTTATGTCAATCCCATTATTATTCTTTCAATCAATCGAGCAGAGAGGAGGCTAGTTTCAATGAATATGTCACCAATTGCATTTCAGTGCTCTAAATAATCATTAAACCAATTCAAAACACTTATATAAGTCCTCGATTTTAGAAGAGAGATTTATATATAAATGGAGAGTTTGTATAAAGTAACTAATTTCATTTTTATTAACGCTATATATAGAGAGAGAGATCAGTTATTGGGAACATCTGAAAACATTTCTCAGGAATAGGATGACTCATTTGCTCTAAAAATAAAACAATTATGTCTGCACAATATCTTACGACTACAGGAAATTTAATATGATGGTTTATTAAAAAAAAAATCAAATTGAATTTAATTGATTGAAAGGATATTTAATATGGTTAAAAACAAGGCAGCCCGAGCGCTGAATTGTATAAAGTTTAAATCACACACACACAATGTCTTACAAATTTAAAACATCATAGTCATACAATAATAAATGAGAGAAACACAGAGAGGAGGGAGAGAGAGAGAAAGTGAGAGACGAGACAGAAAGGAGTGAAAAAGAAACAAACTTATAAAGGCAGAGGCGTGACAGTTTAGAAGAATAAGAGATTATAAATGACATAATAAATGAGTGGATTGACTAACTGATACTTCTAAATTAAAGAATATAAATAGTTGTCATGAGCATGAGTATTGGAAATAGAGGTGAATTGAGGGAAGGGGAAAGAAGGAGATAGTATTAGAGGGAGGGAGACAGACGGAAAAAGAGAGAGGGGGCAGAGGGAGAAGAGGAGTAAGAAAACACGATGTTAAGAGATATAAAAACATCGTGACATAGTGAGAGCAAATTAAATGATATAAGACTGTTAAATAAGGCATAACAAAATATTTCTTTGCCACAGATGGCGCTAGGCCATTCGACCATATAGAGATCCTATATAATTATATAGGATTTCTATGCATTCAACTGATGACGAAGTTTGACATTTAAATTGGAAAGTTGGAAATCGAGGCAGATACACATATCCTAAAATGAAGCATAATAATTATGTCAAATTTTGTGTCATTGTTTACCCATTTGTGTATATACTTGCAAAATGCAAGACGCTTTATGTCTGTTCCAAACATAATAATCTGTTTGAAATAAAGAGTCGCTTGCTGTAGTATGAGAAGGAAAACATGTACACTGTATAATAATGAATATAGTGATTATAATGTAAAAGAATTGACATTATATTTTTCTCTTTTTTTAACTTTTTAGAATTTTATAATAAAACATGCAAAAAACCCCGCTAATATACCGAGATACTCTGCCTTCATGGCCTGAAAAATAAGCAGTCAATATTTGTTTTATATACCGCATCCCCCCCCCCCCCCATGTCAATTCTCACAAAGAGACATTATAACAAAATATACCTAAATTTATGATTGACAGTTACAAGTTTTTAGTACAGGACAAAATGGGAGGAAACCTCGTAAGATACGTCTCAGAGTTTCCAATTTCTGTTTGATTGATTGCACCTTTACAAATTCATAACTTTCTTCCGATTTTTTTCTTAAATTTTCCCTGACCCGTTTCTCTCATTTGTCTGCGCACACAGTACCCGGATAAACATTAAAAAAAAATACCAAAATTTATTGGCAGCGGTGGGATTCGAACCCACGCCATCGAAATGACTGGTGCCTTAAACCAGCGCCTTAGACCGCTCGGCCACGCTACCTTGCTGGCCGATAGAGGGCATAATAGGCATGAGATCAATTTATTCCAGTATATTGATTGCGCGCTTCTTTCCATTAGAAAAAATGGTAAGGGCAAAGTACACAGTGAGCACTGACTCTATTGTTCACGTAGCTAGTACCGTGATACAGTCCTTCGAGTGGTAGTTAGGTCAGTTAGTCTAAACTTATGTTATTTATTAGTCATTGAAAATTCATGGTCCCTTTCAGGAAAAAAAAATTTCACTGGTTTTACAGTCATTGTACATACACATAATACATTAATATCAAATGTACATCGTCACAAACATTCTGAAAATGATTTTTACATTGGAAACGGAACAACATATGCATTGATTGCAGTATGAACATAAACATAAACTGCATCTATGTTACCATTAGTCAAGTGAAAAATCGAACATTAAGCTTACTGTTTATTTGAAAATGTTGGTAAGTTTAGTATTATGAACGAACGTGAACGAACGAACGTGAAACATAATAGGCCTACTCCAAATAAATCATAAAATAAATATCTTCAAGCTGATGGATGAAAAAAATATTTTAATATAATGAATTACGATATAGATGTAAGAGTACTTCAAACGCAAAAAAAATATGCCCATCCTAATATGGTAAACGTTGGTTAGAGGATTACAGTAAAATACCACTTCGTGAACATAATATGATACATATAAAGGCCGAAGGAACTTTATCATTATAGAGACCAACAACAATAATACAATTCTACAGAGCAAAGTCCGATGTCAGTGCAAACACTTACAATAACAGGCTTGCGCCTAGTGTGCAAAGTTTTGTCAACATTTAAAAACGATTAAGAAAACTAAAGAAACTAAGAAAAGAAAAGAACCTTTCGTTTCTATTTTCCCCCCCCCTTTTTTTTCTCCTTTCTCTCTCTCTCTCTCTCTCTCTCTCTCTCTTTTCTCTTTCTTTTCACCTTTTCTATTCCCTTTCTCTTCTCTCAGAGGGCAGAGGCAATTTAAACAGAAAATTCAGATATTCACCTCTTTGAACTACGAGTATTTCTGAGAAGAGCCCCCCACCCCCCCCCCCCCCACACACACATACTTATATTGATTTTAAATTAATTTCAAGCGAGGCCACAATTAGAAAATGACTGCATGAACCCCAATTAACCCCCAGGGAAATCTCTCTCTAAAAAAATATCTGTCTCTCTATAATATATTTATCTATATTCTTCCAGAACCGCACCTGTGGCAATGATATTGACCACTCATTTAACCTTTCAAGAACAGATAACAACCTCATGATTGTATCGACATTGCAATATTGTTCGATCTTTATGCATTATTGGAGTTTGAGTTTTTGTTTCATTTCTTCTTTGAGTTGAAACTTCTTCACTTTTCCCGTTGTGGTCCTTGGGAATACCTCCACAAATTCAACATACCGTGGGACCATGTAATGAGACAACTGCAGAAATCAAAAACAAATAAGTTATGTAAGTGATTAAATTCAGAAGTGTAAAGGGGACTTATAAATATCGCTGTGAGTCGTGATTACGCAGATTAGATATTATAGATGCTCACTTTTAAGGTAAGCTTTCATTTAGTGGTATACATCTCTTATACCAATATTTAATCAGATAGCAGCCTACTCTCTATAGTCATATAATAGTTATTTGAAAGTATTCATTACAAAATAAAGATCTTTAACATTATTTTAATCTAGGTATACAAAACTTTTGAAAGCATTTCAGTACAAAAATTTACCTTCTAATAATTATATCTTCCCCTAACCGGTATCATGACTTGAAGGAGTCTTATTACTTCCGGCAATACTAATCCAAAGAAAACAAATAAAAATGAAATATTGGTTTCATAGCAGGTTTGATATTTGCTCACCTTTCCTCGGCAAAACTCCCTAATGTCTTCCTTCTCACATGTCTCTCCCGCCTTCAGCTTCACGCATGCGCAGAGTTCCTCTATCATTCTTTCGTCTGGTACACCGACTACCTACACAATCAATAATATCTATTGATTCACATTGAAATTCTATTTCAAAAGTCTCTATTTAAGTCATCTCTACATTCTAACCGATAGACATCAATAAAACAATTACATATATTGTTTAAATAAGCTTGAAACCCTGAAGAAAGGAAATTACGTACCAATACTTATCATGCCTGTACATTTACATGTATATATCTATTTATTTCACATATCTAAAAAAAAAAAAAAAAAAAAGTGTAGCCCAACCACCATATACATTGGTTTTCGTTGGGCACTTTAAAATACGAACAAATTGTATATGGCAATAACATTCAGGTCCGACTATTTTTTTACTAAGGTGATTTATAGCACTGATAGAGTATCAGGTGACTAAAAGTAAATGGTTACCTGAACATCCTCTATTTTAGGATGAGTATGAAGACATTGTTCAATCTGGATGGTGGAGATGTTCTCTGCTCCTCGGATGACGACATCTTTGATCCGGCCTACGATGCTTATGTATCCTTCGGAATCCATCTTAGCTAAATCTCTAAGAATTACAAAAAAAATGATGTAAGGCGTTTTAGTAAAGAAGACACTCAAGGCATGCAAGGAGAAGGGCAGAATCCTCTCTAGAACTTCAAGTGTAATAACTCGGGACAAATAAATTTTTCACATACTGTATTGTGTTTTTTTTTAAAGCTTAATAAACCTGGATTCAAACTCATAGCCCCTTGTTCTTTAGACACATTGCAAGTTGTACCCCCACCCCCCTCCCCCGGGCCTTCGAACGAGGGGGAGTGTCCTACTTTATTCTAAACTGCCATTGTCAGTGTTTGACAACCTGTTATATAAATCCTCCTGGTGTGTTCTTTCTCCTCCAAACAAGTCCATCATTATAACTTAAAGATAATACGCGCAAAGTCATCTTTTACAGCTACATGTTTAGTATTTTTCATTCCACCTTTTCTATAAACGCTTAAACAGCCGTCCATACCCTGTATGAAGCCATCTTGTCTGATCCAAGGTTTCTTTCGTATTCTCTTCATCACCCCAGTAACCAACCATCACCCAAGGTGCCCGGATGCAGAGCTCTCCTTGTTTACCTACAGGCATTACGTCACCACTAGATGGATCTACCATCTTCATCTGAATTCAACAAAAATAAAACACAGAAAATAAAGTTTTCTTACATCTTAAAAGTTTCAATTTAAAGTGAAAAGGTCGATTATTTTCTCATTATTTATCCAAACCGTAAATCAGGAAAGTATCGTCTCTTCTACGTTCTTTGTTTGTAGAAAATGGGAAAAAGCGTTTTTAAACATCTAATTCAAATGTCTAGCCCACTAACTACAGTATTGGAATAGCATTTTTCATTAGTATTTTTGCAGAGGTCTATTCTATCTAGTTGAGTTGTGTATATACGTGTTAATACATTTTGTTTACTTTAACCTGGGAATAAAGCCTTAAACACCTGAATTTATTGTAGCCTTTAATAAGCTCCTACCTCATAGAACTGCAAAAACCGTTTCCCCCAAACATTATTGTACTGTTGTCAGGGAGCGTCACAAAGAGTGATTTTTTCCCAAAGAGTTTCGTCAAACCCAAAGATTGTATGACGTAATACATACCTCACACCATGGTAGGGGTCTTCCAACAGTTGAAAAGCGAACTTCTTCCGGGTCACCATTAAGGGTCCCACAAGTAGCGCCAGTAGATTCAGTCATTCCATACACCAACTGGAATAAAGTTTGATTTTCTTTCATCACTGATTTAAAATTATAATGCAGTTTTCAAAATCTCAAATAACATTGGATATTACTGACGTACTATAAATAATAAACATAGCTTCGAGACATAAATGTTGTTAATTACCCGACTGAGAATGCATTGTATTAAAGGGAGAAATAGGTTACTTGTTTTTCTCAACTTGTGCACTAAGATTTTAAATCATACTACATTTAACTACAAAGAAATTAGATAACAAGATGGGTGACCCCTCCCCATGCAAAAATATAAATATGTCGGCAAAACTGGATGTTTTCAATTTAAAACCTTTTCGGCAAATATAGATTTTTAATTTTTTTCTTCTTCCAGGCAAGATGATAACAATACATATAAAACATCACAGGGTTGACAAATGATATAACATTAACAGTATCACTTAGCACCAGCTAATGCCTAAGAATCACCTTTGTATTATGGTTATTGTATAATACTATTTCACATGATTTGCTATGTATGTAATAATATGTGCAAATGTATAACCTTGTATTTGTTATTTGACGCAGAAATAAAATCAATCAAACAAACAAACAAACAAATTAAAACTGCTGTCGAAATCTTGAGGTCTTTCCCTTGTTTAGTGGAATTTTCAAGCTCCAACATCTCAATGGCCTCCATAAAAAAATTGACTAGAAGTAATTAAATCTTACAAGGAGTTCCTTCATGGAGGGCACTTCTTCTGCTATACGTCTGATAATCTCAATCGGTACATGACTTCCTCCAGTATACACAGTCTCCCAACTACTGAGGTCAAAGGTCTCAAAGTCTGGGTGATGTAGCATGTCAATCAGCATGGTTGGAGGACCAAAGAAAATCGAACATCTTTAAAAAGAAAGAATAAAATATAACATCAATGTCTCCGACAATACACCTGCCAAATTAAGTCTCAGATTTTTATAGCATTAAAACATAAAGAGGAGAAATATTGGATTAAAATGAAATAAGAGTCATTCAACCTATCAACGTAAGAGCACTGCGAATAATTGTGTTAAAAAGCCATCTCGTCGTGATTAGTGAAATAATTATGCCACCAGGGACAGAGCTTAGTATGTGAATAGTGGTGCATGTATTGACCTAAAAAAGAAAGATGAGATGTAGGGGACAAATTTAAACCCCAAGCTCTTCCACACTTTACTTGTTGTACAGGAGTTGACTGAAAACAAGGTTTTGACTTGGCTGTGGGCAAATAAACCCTTGCTTCATCCTCCCTCCCCCCCCCCCAAAAAAAAAAACTTGGTCTCAGTCAGAACTATAAAACTATGTTTTCCAACTGTGCTCGATTCCCCCCCCCCCCCCACACACACACACACACACAAAAATTGCTCCCCGTCATTTTCCATTATCTCCATGGGAAAGCTGGAGAATGAATTGAAACGTCATAAAAGAACAACTGCTGATTTTCTATGTGATAATTATATATCTATTATAATTATATATTCACCCTTTTCCAATTAGGACTTACTTCTCGTCTTGGATAGCGCGGAGGATAGCTCCGCTCTCGTAACCTGCTGATGGTAACACGGTGGTTATACCCTGCATCATTCCAACCATCGATGTCGACATACCCATCACATGAAACAGAGGAGCAGGCAAACAACTCACCTGTTTATAACATACATAAACACTATAGGTCAGTAGTACATAGTGTTTTTGATTACTATTGTTACATCATATCTAAAGAAAATAACTGACATGCATACCAAATTAAATTTAGCTCATACACTATGGCCCAAATTCACAAAGGAGGTTTGTCGACAAACCTATGTTTTCGTGCGTCATAATATTATTATGACGCGTTCCGACGCGTTTTTACAAATCAGGGGGATGTTTCACAAAGATCCTAAGTTGAACTTATCTCGAAGTTGGACTTAACAATTATGGAAAGCCATTAACATCCTTGAAAATATTTTGTAAAAGTTATTTTAAAAGGCATAAAATGTTGATTCAAATCATTCATATTTTCTATTGGGAGATTTCATGTTTTTGATGTGGAATTTATGAAAAGTCTAAAATACCTGAATTTTTGCTTTTGAATATATTTTATTATAAGGCTACAAATGGCTCTCCATAATATTTAAGTCCAACTTAGAGTTAAGTTCGACTTAGAATGTTTGTGAACCCCCCCCCCCCCCCCCCCAGGTTTGTAAAAAACGCGTCGAAACGCGTCATAATTATGACGCACGAAAACCTAGGTTTGTCGACAAACCTCCTTTGTAAATTCGGGCCTTTGAGCTGGTATAGATTTATGAGCGCGTTTAACAAAAAAAGTCTCACCTAAAAAAATTTTTTTATAAGAGCTCTAGCAGAGAGCTTGGCAAAACAAGAACTGTAGATAACATAATATTTCACGTCTTAGATTTGATTACTATCATTTCATTTCATTTTTAAGTTGACATTAGACAAACATCTTTGAAGCAATCTCTCCAAGAGCTGGGCTTGTATTTTGTAATTTCCAATGGCATGTACATGTTCTACCTACTATCCTTCAATAACTAAAACTAATAACCTTCAAAGCGACCCCGCCCTCTATTCTGTACTTACATCACCGGGTTTGACTGGGAAGACGAAGGATTGAGTGTTAAGGTTGCTGATGATGTTGTAGTGCGTCAAACAAGTGGCTTTGGGAATCCCCGTCGTACCCTTCGAAATTAAAATTGAAATGGTATTTATTTTTACAAATCCACATGGCAACCCAAGAGCTGAATCCCTCCCTCTTACCCTCTGTCATTCTGTCCCCATTCCCTCAATTCCCCGCTATTTTCCCTACTCTATTATTATTGGTGTTTGAATGACAGAAGGCCAAGGGGGAATTGGGGGAAGGAGTAAAGGAGGAGGGAGAGAAAGAGAATATGGAGATCACATAACGGTGAAAGGGAGGATAAAGAGAGCAAGTTAGAGAGGGAGAATGTGGGGAAAGACAGAAATGGGGGGGGGAATACAGAGAATGAGAAACAGAGGGGGTCAAAATACGGAAAGGTAACCAAATCAGAAATGCCAAGAAAGCAATACTGGAGAAAGTGAGACCAACAGGGATGATATAGCTCGTGGTTTACGAACAGTAGGGGGACATGTTACGTTTCCGTTTGACATATTAAGATACTGCTCTACCACTTTATCACTGTTTATGATTGCCCATTCAAAATTCGCCGTCATCCCAGGAGCCACAAAAGTTGAAAACATATACAAAATATATAAGGAAAATGTCACTCTACAATTTCTTGAAAACTAAAATTTAAATGCAAACTTTAATAATTGTTGTATTGTATTGTAGAAGGTAGGGTTAAGCAATGCCCCCTCCCTATGCTAATTCACTGAGGAACGTATAAAGACAAAATCAAATTATTATATTCTATAATTGATTGTACTTCTACTAAAATTGAAGTTCTATACAAATTTGCAGAATTCAAGCGGATTACCGATGTGAACTGAATATTGATGATGTCATCGAATTGAAGACTTTTTCTGCATCGATCAATGACGTCATAATGCTCGGTTCGTCCCATGTCCATGACGTCGTCGATATCATAGGCACCTGGTAAACTCATAAGCTCGCTGTCGAAGATGATTACTGACTCGAGTTCGGGCAGGCTGCAGTTTGAAGTCAAATTTGAAGTCAGTTTGATCAGTCATTGTGTCAAGATATCATTAAAACGAACGATTTTGATTATTTTAGATTTGATTTGATGTCATTTGATTTAGTGTGATTCATATATTTTACATGAATGTTTTTTCCAACATTCCTGGAATACTATGAAAAACATAAACAGGGAACACAAAACAAATTAAACAAATAACAAACAAGCAATAGGGTGAATCCTAAAGGGAACCCCCCCCCCTCCATAATAGAACTATGCTCTTTGCTTATCAATTTTAAGGAAACATCGCTGTTGATATGGTACAGCTCACGTCGTCCTATTCTAGCTTAACCAAAACAAGATAAAATTGCCAAAACTGACTTATACTAGATTTCGTACATGATTACCCAATAACGATGTGTTGATATAGAAAAAATATAGAATTTTTCAACCAATTGTATTTTTTATACTTTGTCAGAAATGTTATGAATCACAAAAGTTAAAAATTGACGCAAACAAAAACATAATCTGAGCTTCTGCAAATTAATATGCTTACCGTTTGCTTTTCAGTTTACCAGCACCAGACATCGCCTTCATCTCTGGACACAGGTCGGTTAGCATCTTGTAATAGTGCTGCGTCTTGAAATTCTCTGGTGCTATTAGGACCTTCACTCCAACCTATCGAAAAGGATTTTTGAAATGGGCATCTTCTGAAGCATAATGAATTGAACCAATCACAACAAAAATAAATTGAATCATAATCCAGTAGACATTCATTCAATGTTATCAACCTTTCCATTCTACACTTTCCTTAAATTCCACTATTCCAATGACATTACACAACACTACCCTTCGTTTCGATACTTTTTAGCAAAATTGTAACGCGCCCCTTTATAAACAGTAAGCCACATGGAGGAAAATGCCCAAACAGTGACAATGATGTTAGGAATGGCACGATTTCCAATTAGGGAGTAGAGATGGTGTATGACTCGGATCGATGTGATAACCGAGAAAATGTATGTATTAATAAGCGTAAAAACTAATAGGGAATAAAAACAAAGTCAAAATATCAAATTGAGAAACTGTAGAAAATTAACCTTTTTGAGGGTGTACTCGATCTCAGTGATCTGATAAGCAGGGTTTAGATTGACAAGGATAGCACCGATCCTAGCTGTAGCATACTGGGTTAAGATCCATCCTAGGGTGTTTGGACTCCAGATACCAACTCGATCACCCCTCTGCACTCCTAGGGATAGGAGACCTGCTGCTAAACTATCAACCTGAAATCAAAGGAAAATCGTCAGTGATTTTACAACTTATGATGTAGCAGATTTCTTTTTTAAATGGTAATAAACGTGGGTAAATAAATCAAGATGCATGAAAAGAACAGGGACGTTTTTATCCATCCTCTCAACGTAACCCCCTCCCACCCTTGCTTCTTTTCAAAAATTCAAGCACATTGAATGATGGTTTGATGAAGACATATTTTAATCGACCGATAAGAGTCAATGTATGTTTGTAGAACATTGTAGATAAGTAACCAGTGCCCAGTGGACAGGGACTTTTTGAGGGACTTGGTGATTGAGAATTACTAACGCACGGACTTTTTTCTTCATTTTTCAACCCCCGAACCACTGATTGGGACAAATGCCCTACCACTATACCACCACACCCCTCGCGTTACACATTGAATATACAGTATTAAACTATATAATTACTTATCAAGATAGGCGACAATCAGGACAATTACTGATTATGACACTATGAAAAAAGTATTAAATAGGTGTACAGGGAATTGACTGCAGCATGGCATCAGGATGATTACCAAGTGTTAGACGTACCTAATTAAAGATGGTTCCACTTACAATAATCTAAATCGTCAGATCATAATACATTATTATTGAAAGAATAGGGTTTCATAATATAAGTCACCTTTTCTTTGATTTGTTGAAACGTTCTCCTCTGCCCAGTTTCGGAGAAGACCACAAAGTCATTATCCGGGAACTTTTCTGCACTCTCATCAACAAACTGACCAATCGTCTTCACTTGAGGGGTGGGTGCGTTAGGAGTGACGTCATGACCGTGGATGTAACTCAGAGTGTATTTGGTTCTGCTAGAGTGGTTGTTGTGGTAACAAGATGCAGTCCTGTAGCGAGAAGAATCGAGGAACATATACTTTTGAAGCTCCTATATGGTTTGAAATAATTAGGTTTACTTTTTATGCTCATTTTTTATAATAAAATCTTGCACATTTGAGTATAGCCCTTTCATACCCCTCCCTCCCTCTCTCTCTCTCTCTCTCTCTCTCTCTCTCTCTCTCTCTCTTTCTCTCTTCCCCTCTCTCTCTCCCTCTTTTTGATATACGGTGCTTTGTCAGAAATTGAATGAATCACAAAAGTTATAAATTGACGCAAAGAAGACACAATCTGAGCTTCTGTAGATTAATATGCCTACCGTTTGCTTTTCAGTTTGCCAGCACCAGACAGTACCAGATATCTCCCCCTTTCTCTCGCTCTCTCTCTCTCTCCCTTTCTCTCTCGTATAAGCTTGATCCTTTCATTTCTCACCATGGTTTAACGTTCTTTGCAATTTGATCACTAATTAAACACTATTCATGTCGACGATACTGTGTTACGAATACTTATTCACTTATCTGTCACTAATAACGTGTGCTAGAACTAATGAAAGCCATTATAATTTCCAAATTTCTTTGTAAGGCACTGGGACGTTATATCAATCTGATATGCGCCATCATACGGGAACGGTTGATCATCATTATTTGTTGCTTTCGGTGGACACTTTAACAAAAAGAAATAAATCAAAACCATTCTACTACCATGATCTAGATTACATATAGACCTATATGATTTGTATAATTTGTGCACAGTCTTCTAGTGTAAACAGGGCTCAAATTAATTTTTTGTCCACGGGGGCTCTCCCCCCCCCCCAAAAAAAAAGAGCCCCCGTGAGCCTTTCTCATAGGGGCTCTTTTAGTACTGACGGGGGCTCTTGTTTATACAAATATCCATACAAGCTACATAGCTGTTACTGACTTTCATCCCCTGATGACATTCTCTCGATTTTTTCCCGTTCTGCACATTATTTCCTCCTCATTATTCGGAGCAACCTTTACATTCTTACTTTACTGAGCCGCGTAGCGGCGAGGCGATTTTGTGTGTGTGCTATTTTGGACAGGCGCGGATCCACGGGCCGATTCTACCGGCCCGCCCCCCCCCCCCCCCCTAGCCTCACAAACCGGTAAAAAATAGGATAGTAACGTACATTGTACCTTAATAAATAAAATAGAAAACGCCCCCCCCCCCTGACCTGCCAGTGACACAAATGCGGCATCAAAATATTTGTGCTTCTCTGACCGTAATTAAATGCCTAAAACCTCTGAACCCCCCCCCCCCCCCCACCAATTTACGCTCGCTACCCTCTACCTGATCGTAAATACTTTAGACCCCCATTTTGATAAACGTTCCGCGGGGCCTGTGTATATAATATATACGCATACAACACTGATCTTTATGATGTCTTTAACGTGTCCTATCTTCTTCTCACCTTTCAAACGAGAAAGAAAACAAGGTCATTAAAAGGGATTAAGCGACAAATAATGATTGTGATTCAAATTGATGCGAATATTTGTTTGAATAAGCACTGCTATTCACCCGAATCTTCTTTGTAAAAACAACTTTTACAAATCTCTGCTCATTAAAGAATACATTTCTCCTAATCTGAAAGTAATCTTACAACACAGTGGCAGATTTGCATGGCTGTGATTTGTAAAAGTCGTTTTTTCAAAGAAGATTCTGGTGAAAAGCATTGCTTATTCAAAAAAATCCTTGCAACAATTTGAATCACAATGATTATTTGTCGTATGATCCTTTTATTAAATAACCTTGTTTTCTTTTTTGTTTACAGGGGGAGAAGAAGCTATGTCACGTTAAGAAATCATAGAGATCAGTTGTATTATGCGTATTTTTATGATACCAGAACAAAATATTGATTATCAGAATGTCATTTTGGAATACCTCTATACAAATACTTTAGCTCGTATCAGTATCAGTATGAGCCAATATAAAGATATTATTCTTTATTCAGTTCAGTATAATGATTTTCCTCAAAAATAGTTTTGCTATTTTTTTAGGGTTGAGACGCTAAGAAATGGTTTCAAATGTACATTACACAAACCCTGAACCATTGCAAAATGATGGTGGTTCCCCCCCCCCCTCTCTCTCTCTCTCTCTCTCTCTCTTAATTTTAATCATGCATTATCAACTACATATAAAGCAGCAACCAAAAACTTAGGGTTATCTGAGATAGGTGAAAGTAAGAGTTAAAAAGAAAGTCATGCTAAAACGGCGCTTCACCCCCCCCCCCCCTTGAAAAAAAAAAAATAGATTAGTAGTCCTCCTCTCCAGCATCCCCCCGCTTTAATATTCACCGGCCGGCTGAGTCGGCCCAAAAATGTTCCCAAAAAACTGGACCCCCCCCCCCCAAAAAAAAAAAAGAAAGAAAAATATATATGTGCATTTATCCAGCCCCCTCACACATGTGACGTCCTTTTAAGCACTGGCAGTGCCTTAAAAGGAGGTCGCACGTTGCAGTCCACGTTCTCATCGTGCAAATCTAAAAGTCCCTAATATTGATTTACTGGTCGTGGTTCATTATTTGCTGGTCATTTAAAATTACCAGATTTTAGCGGGTTTACGCTTTCACAACGAAAAACTTCTCCATGACCATGTTTCTGCCCTTGCGCGATCGCCTCCAGCTCCAGCAGACATGGCGCGGCAGCGTGCACACGTACCGTTACTAACGGCGCAGTAGGCCTATAACCACTGCTGACGGCGGCACTGCACTGCAAGCTGAATCGGTGATAATTATTAGGCCTACTCATAGAACGGGAAATCTTGCACGCTAATCTAAGTTCCGTTTCATTGGTTTAAGGTTTGAAAATTGAAACTAAATATTGTGTTAAAGTTATAACAGAAAAGATAATCTTTATTCTATAATTCCACGGGGGCGATTTTTAATTTTGCAATCGCCCCCGAGCAACCTGACGCCGGGGGGCGATTATGTAGCTCACGGGGGCGAATCGCCCACCGCCCCCGTGTATTTTGAGCGCTGACTGTATAAACAATGCTAATACTTACTTCTCGAAAGGTCTGTTGCATGGAACGGACCTGGCAGAGAACCGAGATGATGTGCTTCTAAAACCAGATCTCAGATACATTCGCAGAACACACGAAATATTCATCTTGACTTCAATAATGGTTCCCGTCTGCTCAACAAACTGATTTAATTTATAATGGTACAGTTATAGCTGTACCAAATGATGTTTTGGTGGACATTCAAAGTGAACACTAAGTTCTACTTCAGATTTTTAGTTGAAAATGCACAATATGTAGTTGCAAAAGGCATGTCAATATTGAAAATAGGATTTGTGTAAACAACTCTAATCGATTTCTGGACCTCCAGAATAGAACTTTGCACTGTGGTTTTTCGTTCATTGAAACTTTAATTTGTATTCATTGTCCTTGACTGGATCAAAATGGGACATTAATCTCGTGCTCTGGACAAAGTTTAAATAATCAACCTTCGTGGACTGCATGGTTTGAAGGAAGAGAGTAAGAGAGAGAGAGAGAAACAGAGAGAAAGAGAGAGAGAGAGAGAGAGAGAGAGGGGGAGAGAGGGAGGAGAAGAAAAAAATTGTGTTGGAGAGAGAGTATAGAGTATTATAAGACAGAGTGAAATAGAAAGAGTTAGAGAGAGGATAAAAGAAGTAGAAAGCTTGGCAAACATCTCTCTCCTTGTCACTTTTGTAATTCTTCGCATGAAAAGATTATTTCTTGTAACATTTTCCTTAATCATCACCCCTTTCCCTGTTCTTTGTCTGTCTGCCCCCCCCCCTCTCTTTCTCTCTCTCCCTCCTACTTTTTTTATATTCCCTTCTTTCACTGTGTCTCCCTTTCTCTCCATTTCCCTCTTTAACAACTCTCCTCATAAAAATAACTCCTGTCATGGATGTTTCACCCAAGACCTGCATATCAAAGAACCACAACAATGATTTGACAAAATCAATCCTTTACAATATTCATCAGCACTTTATTACTTTTTTTGCTTCACAAAACACAGATTTGACATTCATTCAATGACAATATTTACGATAATACACATTATTTGAAAGCATTTAAAGTCATGTGCAGATCATTCAGAAGAAAAAAAGATTGAACACGTTTGACGGTACTTCCCTCCGTATATTAAATGACAATGAATTAAAGATAAACCTCTGAACAAACTGATCTGCAAAATTGTTGCCTTAGCTACAAAGACGCTGATGGTTTTTGGCAAGCTATTTAACATCTAATACATGAAAATATTTCTGACATCTGTAAGTTCACGGAGCTATTTACATGTACATATGCTACAACACTGCCCAGTCCAATAGTAGCATCTCAAAATAAATATCACAGACATACTATCCTTAGTGTGTAATGGATCTCTGTTTTACAATATTACGGATTTAATATGGAAACCAAACATTTTCTGAAGTAATATTGTGCTCTTATTTCAGGGACCAGAATTCTACTCTGATATGACTAAGTCTGGACCTAAATAAATACATCTATAACAAAAATTGATTTTTGTTACAAAATAGTGATCCCATGTTCACCTCAAATCCAATTTCCTGTCACTGCTCAGCTCAAAAAGTATAATCTATATTAAAGTAACATATAAAATAAGTAATGCAACATATACAGTTATGTAAACAAGAGGTATATCTCAAGTTCAGTTTAGTATGCTGATAACAGTGCATTTTAAACATAAATTAATAATCAAATTCAAATCATAACATTTATTTCTATATTGCTTAAAAATAAGTAATGTATCCATGCTATACATTACAGGGAATATGATTTTATATAATAACTTCAACACGATCGCAACTCTTCCGAAAAAATAAACCTAAGGCAATTTCAATAGCCTTGTGCATTACCTATTAAAATGTATGAACAGTACAATGAGGTATAACATAATGTGAATATGATTTCTAAGGGATGTATAACAGGGTATTGAAAGTGCCCTTGATTTTATTTCCCGAAAAAAGTTGCGATTGTGTTCTTTGTAAACTTGAAATTAATTTAGAAGCAATACAAAAAAAATGTTCAGGTTCCAACTGTAAATAAAAACAAAGTGTAATGCCTCAAAGATATCAGGAATGTTTTAGTCATGTAATCATTATGACATACATGATGGGTATCAGATAATAAATGCAAACCAAACAAATGTATTGCACTAACACCTCATTAACTTAAATTTCAAATATAAGCCAGCTAATGCAGCTAAATAACTTTTAAGCCTTTTAGTGTCAAAAATGGTTTATACCACCACAAATCTGATATATGTCAAGATGTTAGATTTTCATTTAAAACTGATAATTTTCTTCTTTTGGATTAACAACTTAACTCACTTCAGTTTCCTCTGACACATTAAATACATATAACATCCTTTTTCAGTTTTAGTGACATCTTCTGTTGGCATTTAGAGAGACTCGATCCTTACATTACATCAAAATTGATAGGCCCATTCCCACATTGATACAGATTTAATTTTCTTTATGATATTCCATTTCATATTGTATCTTGAACCTCTGAAGATTTCATCAACCTCTGTCTTCATCTCCTATTATGTACACATCTTTAAGCTTAGAGCATGTTTAATAGTATAAATGTACAAACAAAATATGCAAAATATAAAATTAGAAACAAGCTAAATAACTGCTAGTATAATAGATATATATATATCATACATATGACTGAATTCATATAAATAACATAAATTTAAATTACTAAAAGAATCTTCGTTTTATGAAATCGCTTTAAAAACATTCTGACATATATGATTAATATCTATCATATCTTTTACATCATATTTTATCAATAATATGAACATATAGATGTTCTTGATATACCAGGACTAAGATAGAGGTCTTTACAAACAAATGTGGGGGAGCTTGTCTAAAAAACTCTCTTGACATTGCTGTTTTTCTTACTTTTTGTATTGGTTTATCCAAAAATTGCATAAAAGGCTTACCAAACTTTGTCTTAGGTAATGTGCATTTATAAATGATAAAGAAAATTATAAATGATCAGCCCTATTAAAAAATAACATGTTGCATATAAAAGACATTAATATACTTCCCACTTTGTAATCATATCATCATGTCTTCTTTCACATGTACTACTCACTTTGCATCCAACATTGGCTGTTTCACAAGGGAGTCCTGGGCCCCATTTCACAAAACTTGTCATCAGCGACAAAATGACAGTTCTGATAAAAGCTACTGAACTCCTTGCTTCTGATAGGATATCAGCAGATTTGTCACTGATTTTTGTCATTTGTCATTGAAAAAGGCTTTGTGAAACACCTATCTGTAATGTTCCTAGTCATATCATGGGAAGTGAACAACAAAGTTATGTATATGTCACTTGCAAAGAAAAGAAGCATAGCTTGTCACAGCAAAAACAAAATTGCAACTTGTATTAGCGCAGAGTAATATTAGAAAAAAACAGAAGTTGACGGGTAGTAGCAACTAGAGTTGGTCATGAAAGTTACATCATCACATCTCCTACACAAAGTTCTGATTTAAATGAATATCGAAATGTATTGCTAACTCTTTGATCATAGTGGGTTTTCTGAAAAGTTATCTAAGGTGCACTAGACTAAACACCCACAATACTGGCAGCCTATGAGATCCACATGTTGGCCTTCTGACCCTTCTGAACACTGTCTAAAGGGGTCACGAGACTTGTTGGTCTTGTGGGCTGTCGGTCTCATATGGGCTGTCATATGCCCCAGAGCATAACATATGCATAGATGAGAACATTTAACATAATGATATAAACATTGGAATTCAAATTTAAATGTACAAAGTACAGGGGTTGTTTCGCCAAGCCCTAAAATCGATCTTAAATTCGATAGTTGATGAAACACCCCCTAGGTATTCAACGGAGATTGAGGAAGAAAAACTGCAGTCGGATCTTGTGGATGTCCTATGCTTCTGTTCAGTCACAGTAACTTAATATTGAACATCTTGCCGTTCGATGTTCGGTGTAAATCTTTGATTTTTGGTGAATTAGCAGGCAAGAATACATAGTTATGATTAATCTTTGAAATTATTCTCTTTAAAAAAATTAGCTAATAGTGGTGGTTTTGGAAGTAGGAGAAAATAAATAGTTCATACAATCACTTGACACTATGTGATCATCAAATACAGTCTTATGCTTAAAAAAGTTACAAAAAGGTTGAAGGTTTAAGCCTCTCAAAACCACACACAAAAAGAAAATCCCACAATAAAATCTTGTTGAAATTAAACCCATTCTATAACTTGCAACCCTAATAAACAGTATTATCTACTGTGACATATTTTCATTATCATATGGCTTGGAGTTTTAGCATAGCAGATATAAAGTACCCTTTAAAAAAATTGACACAGCCAGAGTCTTTTAGTGAATTTCTATACAGTAGTCATTTACAGGTGACTAAATACCCCCCCACCCCCAACAAAAAAGGCGACAAAAAAGGCAAGCAAAACAGAAGATGGAGAGATACACATATTACAAGTATTTGATCAATATTGGCAAAATTTTGTTTGTAAGTACTATGAAACTGTAAATTAAAGCGTTTTAAAATCTGTAAACCAAAATTAAATCTACTATCCCTCTATAAACACCACAAAGTAAACATTGCACACTATACTGGTCCATACTGAGGCATGTAAAATAATGCTTTATAAATAAATAAAAATATTCAACCATGGATTTGTCTAACTATCGTGAATGATCAGCTGAATAGTTTCATAAGGAAATACATTCCCTATTATATCTGGTAAGCAAATAAAATCTAAAGAGGTGTAAGCTATCGAAAGGACTGATAAAAGATAAGCCTTAATAATAACTCACTTTATCTTAAAGCATAAATTATATCCATTCATAATGTCATTTTAAAAAAAACATACACAAATTTTAGAATTCTAGCTCTTAACCATCAGGGTACGTCATTTTAAGCTCTGAAGCACAGTAATATCTATACAAGCTATCACTATATTCATCATACAGGATATTTTCTTTACAAAATAAGCCATTTGGGGGGCAAATTCAGGATGAAAATGTGAATTGTCTCTTTGCAAGAGCTTAGCTAACACACCTATATATACACATATATCTTCATAAGAATGCTACATCAATCAGGCAAGCAAAGACACTTATGAATATTCATGAACCTCAGCCACTGTCAATAGTTTACTTGTACCTATATATGCCAACAAATTATACCTCACTTACTTCTACAGTTTGTATTTTGGGGATCTATTTGAATATGACATCAATGTTCCATAAAACATACCCCATTCAGCTTCACCATATTTTTATAGACCCGAAACTATTCATCATTGAAATAATACTGCTTGAATTCTGCTCTTATTTCATCAAAATAGCATACAAATTGGTATGTTGTCAATAGAATCTAAATTATTTTATTTTCCTTTGAGTATCAATTTTATTATCCTAATAATCAAAATGATGACTCTCTGAGATATTTATAATAATGTACACTGTAATATTAATATATCAAGTAGACTGATCACATCAGTAAATAGAGTTAAGCCGAGAGCCCAAGCATTACTTACAAAATAAAATGTTCATAGTTACATTAGTTGAACTTTCAACACTATGAGGTCTCTCAAATTACTGTTGAACTTGTCTCCTTACTGTTTTATCTATTGATGTCAACACTGCCTCTCAAACACATGTACATGGACATAGAATGTGTAGCTAGAATGACTTTTATACTGGCTGCAAGGGAACACGAAGAACGACCCTGTTAGCTCCATAGGCATACATACCCATGTATGAAGACAGTATAGCATTTGGGGATGGTTGTACCAGAGATTCAACCCTGTTACCGGTCGTGTAGGTTGAACGGTTTGAAGATGGAGCTTCAATGTCTAGATCTGGAACTTACATCCTAATCCTAGATAAAGGTAACAAATAGTTTTCTCTTGGTACAGGTCCTGGTCTTGGTCTTCGGACCTCTGGGTCTCAAGACCTCATCTGCTGAGAGCCAGAAGGGCATTGATCAATAATGCCATAGAATGAATCAGGAGTGAATGCCCTTATGAGTCTCAACAAACGATGTATAAAGGCAAGGAATTGATGGGTTCTGGTTCACAAAGAATACAAATGAGTGCACAAGGGGGTGGGAGTATAATATACATACATATCACTGAGCTTCTAGGCTAGGCTGGATAAGATATGGGGGTTAACATAAAACATAACATATATTCCTTGACCGCTAGTTGAATGATTGTCAGCCTACTTTGATGGTTCTTCATGGATGACCACAGCACCTGTTGGTCTCTTGGTTGTGTCGTATGCTCGGATCACCTCCGCCTAAACAAGAAAACCATAATGAAACATATATTATATCATACCTGGGGTTAGTTTCACAATGATCCTAAGTTGAACTTATCTGTAAGTTGGACTGAACAATTATGAAAAGCTGTGAGCATTTTTGAAAATATTTTGTAAAATTTATTTTAAAAGGCATAAAATGTTAATTCAAATCATTCAAATTTTTCTATTATCAAGGAGATATCATTTTCTTGATGTAGAATTTATGATAAGTCTAAAATACTTGAGTTTTTGCTTTTGAATATATTTTATTGTAAGGCTACAAATGGCTCTCCATAAGTTTTTTATCCAACTTAGAGTTAAGTTCGACTTGGAATCTTTGTGAAACACCCCCCAGCATACAAAACAATACTTGTTCAGAAGTATAAGCATACATATATAGATGTGGAAGATAATATGACATTACAATCTAATCTATAGTTTTATGCACATCAGAGACATTGAAGAAAAAAGTCAATATCAGGAAGGCAGATAAATTGTTTAAGACAAGCTTTGAAAGATTTGGGTTTTGAGGTTCATTCCACAATCAAAAGCAGCAGTATTCATCATTACTTCTCTTAATTATCTAAAATGTTTCACTAATATTTAACATGATGGTGGAAAAGAACTCATTTCATTTTCACCCTACTTTTTCGTTCATTCCTGAGATCAAGATTAATCTAAAGTTCCTAAGTTACCCTACTGATAATGCCCCTATTCTCAACTTTTACATATGACATATTATCATTACTCCAATCATAATCAGTTTATTACAGTTAACCTATTAACACTTGGCATTATTGCAACATCAAATATTTATATATAAAGACTACCCAAGGGAGACAAGAAAAGTGATCTTTATAGGCAGGTGGTCTTTATGTACAGGGTCCTTTAGTACATGTTTCAATGAGAAACCATTTTTAAGGGAAACAAAAAAATGTGGTCTTTGTAGACAGGTGGTCACTAAAGCAGGTTTGACTGTATATGACATTTGACATTCTATTGTGATGTGAAGTCTTACCTGAGTAATAACTCCATGTTCCTCCTGAGAGAAAGCAAATCCATCTAAAGGGAAAACAACAGTTACTGATAGATAACAGACAAACATTCAACATCAGCATAGTAACAGGAAAGTACTGAGTAGAAGGCACATTGGTACAATCATATATAAAACATTACACAAGATCAAAATGACTCATGAGGAATGGTATGAAAAACATTCATTGTTGATCAAAGAAACATTGAGATCCATTTACAGATTAGATCTAGCACAACCACTTGTATCACATTTCCATTCCATCTCCGGAAAGAGAGAATTTATATTTTCACCAGTGTGCCCCACCTGTTCCCTGGAAAATGAATCAAAACACATTAATAACAACCACTCCACTATGCAACTTAAAAAGAATCCTCTAGTTGAAATTATAAGTTGTTTAAATACATTTCACACAAATGGTAAGTATGAATATAGTTAATGTATTGGATCAAGTTATATATATTTAGTGAGTTTTCCATACGTCACCATTTTTTTTCCAGTCTTACCAGCCCCTTTGATTAGGCAACCTAGATACTGACGCTCTACTTATTCATCAACACTGTCCTCTTCAGATTATTGCATCAAAAATAAGCCGAACCATCAAACGTGTCACAATTTCTCAAACAAATGTAGGACTTATCAATGTCTTAGGAAATAAAAAAAATAGGGGATAAATAACTTATGGACAAATTGTATGTTTCTCTGATTAGACAATTCCTATATAGAAAGGTCCATGCCATATGTAGGTACATGACACTGCATTCAATATACTCTATCTGTATGTATGCCGAAATTTTTTTTCCAGATGACTAATTTGTGTAACTTACGTCGAGGGGTACCCTCCTCCTCAGCAAGATGCCGTGCGCTACTAGGCGATCGTTTGAACAATCTAGTTAGAAGGCGAGAAGTTTCACTAAAACTGCAATACAGGAAGAAAAAGATGTGAAGAAAAAAAACAGTATGTTATAGCAATGCAATTCATTGATCTTTGATACAAGAATCAATTCATAAGAGAGCAACTTGAACTAATGGTTGGATGTAAAAGAGTTTACTCTGGATCACATCATATAAGTTGACTTCATACAAGCATATTTCCATATGGGTTTTTTTCAAAAAGGGTTAGTAAAAACAAGCTTTTATCCAGGAAATAAATGAATAATTAATGTCAGTTTATCATTTTAACCTTCATTTTGTTGAGTGGAAAAGCTAATATAACTTCAATCTTATCAACAAAATTACAACTCTTTCAATATTTACTTTTTTTATGATATTTACACAGGACACTATTGTCATTTGAATGTGTTAATACAAAGTACTGTAGCTTAAACATGCAAAAATTTTCAATTAAGTGTGTCCCATCCTCACAAACTTGTTTTTTCTGTTGAGAGCCAGAAGGGCATTTAACTCTTTGTTTAAAGTGTATGATTAACATCCTTCTGGGTCTTAACAGATGATTTCGTTTTTGGTCCTTTTTAATGAAGATTTTTTTTGTTTCACTCAATATTACCTACATGTATCTTATCTACCTCTTTCAAAACAGGTTTTTTTTAATACCAAGACTGCAGTAAATAATGAGGCTTAGGTTATATGCCATTTTAAGTACTTAATGAATGATTTTGTGGAAGTTCCCCGGATTCCGCATATGGAAAAGAAATTTAATTTTATATTATATTTGTAAATTTTAATTTTCATCAATTCCAATGGACTTGACATATTCATTCTTGTATAAAGTGTTACTTTGCGCCTTTAATCACCTATGAATTAACATTATTTATATGTATACAGTATTTTAAAACACGAAGCACAGACAAAGTCTGATAAAAGACTTTGGCCGGAAAAAAAAATGAATTAGATTCAAAATAATTCTAGACTAAGAGACAGCAATATGGCAAGAATTAATGTGAAGATTAGGTGCATTTGTGAGAATTATAGAATATATGACTTTGTAAAATAGTTATTGAATTATCTATCAATAAAGTGCTTGAATCGGAGTTAGCTGCAGCTGAAATTAAAATCAATCAAAGAATTTCAAGTGTTAAACATATGTTAGTAATAATTAACAAAATCAGAATGAAAAACATGAAAACTGCATTCCAGACGATTCAAACAGAATATCAATGAATGGAACAAAAATGATTTGAAGCAGCAGCAAAAGCTGAAAATGAAAGGTAAAGTGAAATTATTCATGTTAGAATTGAACAAGTGGAAAAAAAGCATCAAATTGTTAAATGTTCTCTCAAAATCATAAGAATAAGTGACAGAAAATGGCAAAAGCAATAGCACATAAATTGTGAGAAAAACTGAGGTTTCTTCAAGTTAATCATAAAATGTATATCGGTGACTAAGTAATGATATTTTGTATTTTGAAATGAATATCAGTGATAATGTTTGAAATAAATAATTTCAGATTTCATTTTATAAGTGTAGAAAGGTATGAACTGTATAGAATTATGATTTTTTTTTTTAAATTCACAGATACTTGGGCTTATCACATTTTATTGTTCAAATAACATAATCAGTTGATTGACTGATATAATTGATTTAGTTCTATTTCAAAAGAATAACCTCTTCAGTAAAGTAAATACTGTTCTTTACGAGGGGCCCTGCTGAAAACAAAAATCATGTACAATAACATTCAGAGCATGATACATGTGTTGTATGAAGAAGCAAGCATGATATTGAGCATGCATGTGATATGAGTATAAAGCTTTCTTTGTTTCATTCTGTGTTGGAGCCAGTGCCATGCTCTCTTACCCATTCTTAGCTTTCAGAGCTCGACTGCCAATGTAGTGAACACTTCAAAAAGAGAACAATATAACACTCAACACAATATCACAAGACATTGAATACTATACAAACATTCAGGGACCTGTTTCACAAAACTTTTTTGTGTTGAAAAATGACAAAAATCAGTGACAAATCTGCTGATATCCAATCAGAAGCAAGGATTTCAGTGGCTTATAACAAAAACTGTCATTTGTCACTGAGGACAAGTTTTGTGAAATGGGGCCCAGAACAACACAACTATGATAGCCTAGCACAATGAAGTTGCACAGAAAGACGCGCCTGGAACGCAAAATGGATAGTTATGGAGAATCATATTTTTATGCCATTAAAGCCCCTCTAAAGTGTTGGGAGCCCTAAATTTGCCAAAAGTTTGATGGTAAAATTTCACTTAGGTAAATTGTATCATAATGTGAAAGAGGATGTCATTTAAGACACAGTTCTGCAAAGATTTCCCCCCAAAAGTGTGTTTGAAGACATATATTGATAAAAGAATACATAATTTTGGTTGTTCTGTTGTACGTTCGGAACCTAAATTCTGTATTCTTTCATCAATATTCAACTTCAAACACATTTGTTTTGAAAATATCATCAAGTTCATGCTAAACTACAACTTTTCCTACACAGGTATCACCAGCTATTGTGTCCAGATGCATTATTTTGTGCCATTACATTCTGATAAGCTATATCAATGACAAAGATAACAATAATAACAAAATTCAGAAATGAGGGAATAAAACTAAGAGAGAGAATAGTGATTCTACAATCAGCATGAAAAGGTAACATTGAAAATGAGGAGACATTGAACACAGCTAAACCACACTGATGTGAATAAAGTGATTGAACATCTTGGTGAAGTGTGATCCTAAACATATTTAGAAATTGACATTGACTATGGATACAAAATAAACTTCAATTTCAACAAGATTTTAAAAAATAGAATATGGGAATACAAATTTAAAGAGACAATTGGGTGAGGACAAATAAAAGTTGAGAACACAGACAACATGTCTATATTCCAAGTGAAGTATTAATATCAGGAATAAGAGGAATGAGCCCTGGAAGTACATAAACATACACAATATTAATGACTCACATATTTCTGAAGACATAGAATTAATAACTGAATAGTTGACTACTGACTCAAAATAAAAGCCTAACTATTCATTTTCAGCCATGTAGACTAAAGGCATACTAAAATGAACTTACAAGTTGTAGATTTTTCATAGAGAGGATTTCAGTAAGATTATGAGAGTGTGCATGCTGTGTTCTACTCAAAATATCATGAGACACTAGTCAAACTTCTAAGAAATTCAAATGTTAGTCTATTCTATTATCAATTCTATCTATCTATTCCTACCTCTTTGGTTTTAACAAAATTAGCCTGTATATTAATTGGTTTCATCTCCCCCTTCCCCCTTTTTTGTTCTTGTTAAAAGTCCTTATTCTTTTTTAGTCAGGAAGAAATACCATCCAGACAGGCATATCAGAGTCAGTAAATTACTCCCACAACCTGTGGGCTTAGAGAGGAATCCTCGTAGAGTGGAGTAATCATTCCAAATATGAGTCACACTAAGCAATTTTTGTAATGCTTATTTGGTCTATCACACTACTCTCAATTGAATTGGAACTATACCATCATCACCTACAGTAGATGTGTTTGGAAAACAAAAAAATCAAAAAAATCATTCCAATATAAAATCTGGACCCTCTGTAAAGTAAAAGGTGTTATTAGTGTATCAATTAAAAACACAACACAAAATCACTAATTAGAGACGGTTAGAAAGTACTCATACTATCCCACACTAATAAGAGATCCCCAACATACTTTACACGCTCAGGTCTGATGGGGATAAAGTCATGCAAAGAGAATAACATAGGAATAACTTTGAATACCTACATGTATACATGCAATCTATAAAAGACAAAACAAAATACAAAAATCATGCTATTTCAAACATCACTACTTTTAGCAGCTCTACACAAAATAATTGATGTCAAGCTTGCACTAACATCACTCATGAAATACATACAACATTCATAGGCACTATACATGTATGAATGATTTTGAAGTGACATGTTCATGTAATCTTATGTTCCCTCCAAAACATCAAAAAGTCAATAGAAACATATTTGACAGTCTTTCATGATAACCATATTTATGAGAAATAAAAAGACTTCATGTTGCTAAATGTGTAAATGGTTTTTACACTAATTTTTAAATCAATGTTGCTGGTGCCAACCAAACTTATCTATGCAATGAAATGGTGGACAGTTATGCATGTGACACAATGTCAAGGAATTAAATGAAACAAAATTTTTGAGTTAAACAATTTTTAAAAGAACTCTGTCATTGATGGGAAGCTAGGATATCTAGGATGTAATAAACACAACAATACTAACAGCACAAAGCTATTGCTAAAACCATCAATACATCATCTTACAAACAATACAAGCCTTGAATAGAATCTGGTATGATTCATCACGACCTTTGACCTACCTTTTCTTGACTGACTTCTGTATGATGGACGTTGGGTCAATGAGCTGGACTTCAGCTTCTTGCACCTCTTCGGCCAGAGTCTTGAACATCGTTCGTCTAACACTGTTGTCATAATGGAATAAACATAAATCTAAAAATAATAAATCTAAATTACGTGTGACAGATTTGACAGCTGGAGCAGCCGTAAAGCAATTACCATGGTTACAACATGCAGATATAGAAAAAGGATTATGGGGAAGAGGGCGATTTTTCAACAACTACCATCAAAGAGTCTCCCTACCCATTTTATAGGAACATTTCAGATAAAGGACTTCAAGCTTTAAATGTAGAATACATAGATACCTCCTTGATGTGCCATCACTTTGTTTTTGCTCCTATTTTGTGTTGGTATTAGTTTGTTCATTTGTATCGCCTGTTTTTGTGTGTGTGCAATGTATAGCCTGTTGTGTAATCATTTAGTTCTGAGATGCACTTGATTGGCTCACTAGAGCTCTCAGTGAGAGTCCGCTCTTTCAGCACATTTTGTAACATGTTTGGTGGTGCTATTGTTCATGCTTTACACCTTTTGTAACAAGAGAGAAAGACGAGTTAAAGCCCGTCTGCACAAGTTTGGCCAGGGGATTAGACCTCCCTGCAAGGTCACTGACAGGTGGTTATCTCATCAAATCAGCTCTCCATTAACATAAAAAAAAGGGGATCATGGGGGACCAACGCGCACCAAATAGGCACTGTTTGCTATATAGAGGGTGCAAGTAGCTATAAGTAGTACAGTGGGGCTTTAAGCATAATAATGAAGGGTTGAGGGAGGTTTCAGCTTCCCATGCAACATCTTACAAAACTGAAACGGGGAAAAATTAGAGAAACCAAGAGGTTGATGGGTTAAAGGAGGTGCAGAATCACAAAAGGAGACATTTGAATCAATTGAACTGACAAACACAGAGGGGAAGAGGGGAAATAGAAGTGTATAGTAAGAGGATGTAGTAAACTTACGCTTTCCAAGCGATATCTCGTACGAGTGCTGCGATGGGGATAAGGAGTAATAACATCCAGAAGATAGTACTTGAGAACACCATCGTAGCCTGGAACAATTAAATTGTAACATTTTACAAAAACTTTAGTGAATAAAGGTCATTTTGGGTTAGTAAACTTAAGAGTACAGTATATGATGTAAAGATTGCATGATATAGTCCAGCAATACTTGCTCTATGGTCAATTTCCAACATTTCCTTACTTAAACCCCAGACCAAACCCTAAACTCGAATGAAAACCCTCCTGTAACCCTAACCCAAACCCTATATCTTTGATGATATAAATCCAGAAGAAAAATGTTTAACTTAAATGTATAGCTTTCCTGCTCATTGCTAGTCTCCAACACTGACCAGTAACCCAATATCACTCTTGCAATTTATATAGCGATGCACATAACAGTCATATCCTAATTTATTACATAGCACCACATACACAACATCAGATACTATGAATCATTGTAATAGTCATACCAGTTTACCTCCAAGAGATTTGAACTTACCTCATTGTACATATCCGATGCAAATGAGATGAATGGGAAGAGAACTGAGTAGACACCGAAGAAAACAACCCAAGCAATCAGACCAAACCATAATGATACATGGACCGGCTGCAAACAAACAATCAAGAATTCAAATCATGATTACAGTCTTTGATTTAGAGCAATTCATAAATAATTCCCTACCTCCTCTCCCCTACCATTCTAAAATAAGGTCTTGTAGTAAAAAAAAATATCTGACATTATTATCTATATGAGGCTTCCAAGGGGTACAATAAAACAGTGTATTTGATATCTTTAGCGCAGTAATATATTCTTGTATCCCACTCAAAGCCATCCAAAATTATATAAGTATTTAGTTGGTAATACACTCTATATAGACCATCTCCACTATGGAAAATTAGAACTATAATCATAAGCACAAAGGTAAATGGTTCATCAGGAATAAATGACCGTCTTTTGTAAAAGAAGGCAATCGATATCAGCTAAACTTTAAAAAGATGGATAAATGATACTTTTTATGGAGTTTAAGTGATTATAATATTGCCTCTCTCAATGTTTGAGTCTTGTATCATGAAGCGTATACTTACCCAGGTCCATGTATCCATCTCCAGGCCAGCCTTTAATGTAACAACCACCAAAACACACTGAAAGAGAGAAGCCACACAAAACAATAAAAAAAAAACATTACAGCAGTACAACAGGACAACTTATATAATCCTTTTACCTATCATTATTTTGATTGATGCATTTTATCTTCAACCAATACGGTTGTGTACATGTTCATCTGAAAAAAAAAAAAGATGCTATTAGGTCTTATCAAGTCTTTGTTTACTACAGGAATGTACATAACATGGATTTTCTTTTTATTCTTTAAATCATGTTCCATTGTCCAATTTTTCAGCATATACGTATGAACATGCAAAATCATACCACTGATTAACAATCTTATTTCAATTTTACACATTATACTGCATAGGAAACTTACTGTGTATGCGATATTGCCAGCAACAAGGTAGTCTCCTGCCTTGCCGTTGCCCCAGGCAACGTCTTGGTTCATGGATGCAACCACAAACCAATAGATGAGAAGAGAATGGTAGACAGAGTTCAGAGTCCACATCCAAAACACCTGAAATGATAGTTATAGTTGATTGATACATTTTATTTCAAATTCAATAAAAAACACAAAAAACAGGTTATAAACATTAACAATGTACATATAAAATCAACTTAAATATGTGAAACAAAGTAATAACATTTAAATACAAATGGTGGGAAAATGAAATAGGGTGTATCATTAATGATGATATTCAGTATCTAGTTTCTAAATCTTTACACTGGCGTGCATGATTGATGGTACGGTGCATCCAATGAAGTGATGAGAGTTTGTTGTTTATCTGTTATCATGCCTGATGCTTGTTATCTATGACTAAGTATCCTTACTGCTGGTTCAATTTTTTTTCTTCCTTTCAAAGACTTTCCATATTTTTGCAAATGAAGCTTTACAGCTACTACTTCATCATCGTTATCATCATCATAACTATCACGTCTGACACTTGTAATCTACACTATACATGTACATATCCTTACTACTGGCTCTTATCTACTCTTCTCCACTAGTGCTTTCTATAAATCATAATCATCATCATCATCATCATTATCCACTATCATCATCTTCTTGCACATTATCTGTATTTTTATCAGCATTATCAACAAAATCACTACAACTACAAACACATACATAGTTCCTTTCTATCATGCAAAATTATCATGACTGGCGAATGTAATCTGAATTCATTTATTGTATGAGGCATTCTTACTTTTGAATTAAAGTACTCAGCATTCTGAGATGACTTGTAAAGCTGAGGGAACCTCTTCATACTCTCTACACTGATGTTACGATCAAACAGACCAATGGCAAAGGGTGGCAAAGCTGTGAAGACCTATTAAATACAGGAATAAAATCATTCATAATACTGTAGGTTTTTCATATCAGCTCTTACAATGATAATCCTGCAATCCAATATGTAGACCCGTTGTCATTACTTTCTTCAAAAGACTAAAGGAATTTATTCCTACCAAATATCAATCTCGCTCAATACTTTATTATCAATCGTTTCACAATAACTTCCTTTTTTTTTCCTCGACACACTAGTTATAAAACATTTTCATACTGTACGTTATCCTCATTTAATCTAAGGACATTGCACATACAAATAAAATCTATTACCTAAATCAGTGAATGGGTTAAACGATTATTCAACACTGCATCTGCCATCTTCTCTTTACTTTAAATACAGTTCTAACTCATTGATTATGTATTTATCACCTTTAACAAAAAAATCCAAGATAGGCTATTCACTAATAAACCAGTGCTGTACATAGCAGCCCTGTAAACATTAACTTACCAGGTTGTAGATACCAATCGACCATCTGTTGAAGAGGATCTGTCCAGACCAACCATTCACAATCGCAAACCAGAACTGAAAAATACAAATTTAACAAAGAACACTAATCAGTCAAAGAATTGAATTCTACTTTGAATAGTGTTCCCCCTGTGATTGCATTCCAATATTGTGACTGTAACAGAACAAAATTCAGTTGACATTCGATGCCTTTGACATTTACTTTCACAGACAACTCATTGAAACATTCACAGAAATATACAAATGTTGCCAATTTGATGATGTACATACCTCCATGATGTAGAGACAGATGTTCTTGTAGAAGGAGTAGAGAATGACCTTTGAGATACGATTGTAGCTCCAGACTCCATGAACCAACATGAGTTTATGAAGGAATCTGAACTGAGCGATGGAGTAGTCTGAGCAATTAGCTGCTTGGAGTCCCTCACGACCACTGATACCAATACCTACATCGGCAGCCTGTCATGGAATAATCAGCAATGATTTTAAGCGATTAATCCTCATATTTTGAATGTTTACATAACTTAGCCTTTCCAGTTACAACAGTTCTGACAATTAAGAAGATATTTTACGAGCATCAGCTCCCTGTTGCTTACTAACAAGCATCTTTGCTTTCTTAGCAGTCAGGTAAAATAACCACCACCACTACTACTACTACTACTACTGTTTATTAGCATGAACTTATTTCTAAACCATTAAAAAAAAATCTAAGTTATCTTGCTTAAAGAAACAATAAGGATTGAAGATTTCAACCATTGGGCCTCTAACATAGAATCTTTATCAGCTATCTTTATGACGAATAGAAGCTAATTGCAAGACATTCCCTTACCTGTATCATGTCTACATCATTAGCACCATCTCCTATGGCAAGGGTCACAGCATTGACATTCTGCTTAACAAGGTCACTTACCTGTATCATGTCTACATCATTAGCACCATCTCCTATGGCAAGGGTCACAGCTTTGACATTCTGCTTAACAAGGTCACTTACCTGTATCATGCCTACATCATTAGCACATCTCCTATGGCAAGGGTTACGGCTTTGACATTCTGCTTAACAAGGTCACTTACCTGTATCATGCCTACATCATTAGCACCATCTCCTATGGCAAGGGTCACGGCATTGACATTCTGCTTTACAAGGTCAACAAGCTCAGCCTTCTGCAGTGGGGTCACTCTAAAGAGGGAGGAATAGACCATAAAACATAATCAAGCTCATCAAGGAGGTTTGAGGAATAGAGTTGTCAAGTTACATGTTTCTTGCATATCACACTCAAAATATTATTCAAAGGTATATGGATTTCTGAGAACTTTTATCTCCAAACTTAACATCATTAACACTTTTGAAATCACTATCACATCAGAGGTACAGTGGTTCTCAAGAAAATTATAAAAACGAAAATGTTCCTACTGAGCTAATTATTTGAATTTTTCTTTTACCTGCAGCACATGACAGACTTGCATGACATGGCGAGTTCCAGGAAGTCTTTGCGTAGATCAAACGACAGGGCAAACTTCAGCGCCTGATGAGGAAAGAGAATTATAAAATCATCAAACATTGGAATATTGGAATCTTCAGAAACATGGCAAAAAGAAAATATACACACTTTACACACGACGACAGTGGTTCATATTTTTTACAATGTCTTGATGATTGCATAAGGTATGAGATAAACCATCGTATCACGGATGAGTTTGGTACTGCCCATTGAGTAATAGTAAATGAGTAAATGAATACACCGCACACTTACAAACTGAGAAAGAAAAGGACCATGGCAGTGTTACTTCGACTATTATTGAAATAACAAAGGGACAACTCTTTGTATATTTGATGGTTCTTACCTCTACATCTATGCCTAATATACCAGGGGGTGTTTCATAAAGCTGTCCGTAAAGTTACGCATGATTTTACGCATGACTTGAATATGAAGAGCTAAATGGGATTCTCAAATCCTTTTAATTTCATAAGCTAAAATTGAAATTTGCAGATGTAGATTAACCTTATCATTATTAACAAAACATTTTAATGCAAACGGTACTTTTGGCTACAATTTAATAGAGATTATAGGAAATACAGTCACACTTTGTTAAATGTCAGGAAAAGCTTTGGACATCCCATTTGGCTCTTCATACTCAAATAATTTGTAAACTCATTCGTAACTTTACGCGCAGGGATGCTAACCTGTCAAACCTGGCATGTTGCAGATCAAAAGTGTGTGAATGATTGCTCAAAATACACAGGTCATTGGCTCATGGTCTATAAGTTGTTACTCAGAGTTGATCTGCAGTACTAATTGAAAGTCAGCCCTCATATTCACAAATAGTGGTTAGAATTGACAAAATTAAAACTGAAATCCACAACATACCTCTCCATTAATGATGAGTGCTACCTCATTCTCCTTGCCTATCTGATCTCCAAACGCTGTAATGTGTCTCTGTAACGTCTCTCTGATCTCATCATGACTCGTCTCAGTGATGATCAACAGAGGCATTGCAGGGTTCAGAAGCTTACACGAATACCCTGAGGGGAGAGAAAATAATGTTGATTTGTAAAGGTGTTGTGGTTTTGGACTGTGGATTGCATGGTTCCCGGTGCGAGTCCCGTCGTGGCACTAATGTCCTTTGGCAAGACATTAATCTACATTTGTCATACTCCACCCAGGTGAGGTAAATGGGTACCTGGTAAGAAGAAATTCCTTGAATGCTTGAGCACCTTTAAATGGTAGCTCAGCTTAAGCCGGGGTAATGATATAATTGCATGGCCCTCAGGGAGAACAGTATGAATACTCATGAGGCTACCCTGGGTAAATGAGACATTATTATTATTATTATTATTATGATAATGAGCAAATCAACCTGCTACTCTTATAAATGTATGTGTTGATAAAAAATTGAAAAGGAAAGGAACTCCGACAGCAACTTGCAAGTTATAGAGGTGATCTCTTCAGTACTCCTTTCATATACGCCTTATGAATAAGGGTTTAACTAGTATATTACTACCATTGTGATTTTTTCCTTTTCTGACATTAGTAAGTGCTACCATTGACCGAATGATGTCAAAAATGGGTTTAAGGATCTTTTTAGATTTGATACTTAGATATGGGTTATAAACTTACCAACATTGATGGCAGTCTCTTGTTTGTCACCAGTCAATACCCAGATCTTGACATCAGCCTTCAGGAGAGTGTCTATCGTCTCAGGAACACCCTACAAATCAAACCAGCAATAATCATGATTATGATCTCATTCTATATGACCTAGCAAGCAGATTCTCATCCCCTTCATGATCATCACAATGCACGATCTCCATCTTTTTTGACATTACATAACAACATCATAAACAGTGCTTTCAATACACCCTCCCCAATTTGGAAATCTTCATCTTTTTAAATGCATGGTGACAACCATGACCTCTTTCATATCACAACTTATTGCTATTGTATTTTACATTTCTTTATCATACCTGAAAAATTTATTACTTCTTACATTTAAATTGTAATTCTTTCTAGGATTACATTAGAATATAAACATCAGTAATAGAACACAAATCCATGACTTTATGTTTCTACTACCATAGAATTTGAGAAAAGGAATTAAAATATATTTACATCTTGTAGTTTGTCTTCGATAGCTGATGCACCAATGAGGGTAAAGTTCATCTCAATGAGCTCAGCAGCTTCAGCTAGCTTCTCTTCTCGGTTCTGTATCGCTGTGCTAGCCTTGTAGTACGTAGCACTCCAGTCCTACAAAGAGAGAATAAAAAAAGATAGTCACAAGAAGAAGAAGGAAGATTTACTGTTTTACTCTGATACATCATCATAAGGTGTAGCTCTCATTCAATATCCCTTACTGCATCGCTGAGTTAAATCTCTGAAACAAACCTGTCTATTAAGGCCACCCAAGTGAAACAAAGAAAGTGGCCTCTGTAGACAGGTGGCCATTCTAGACAGGTACTACAACACACATTTCTCTCTTGAGGGAGACAAAATACATGGCCTATAAAGACAGGTGGCATTGTATGTGCATAAATATTTGTAACATTTAATTCATTGGTCATTGACAGGCTTACTTAGCCATATCTTGTCAAAATACAGTGAACTATGTAAAGATCAAGGAGGAATTAAATCATAAGTTTGTTAACTAACAACTTATCACAATTCTAGGCATGCAAATATAATAAAATAATAACTTCTGTTAGAAACTTACCTCATATTCTTCCTTTGAAATCTCCCTGAATGCAAAGCACAATGTCCTCAGACCTGTGATACAAAATAAAATCATAATTATGCTTCAAAATTAAATCTGCATTAAAATGACCTCCAACCAATGAAGCTAATTAAATAATAGGACATTGATATCTTAGAGTGAGTACTGGTATCTTTATCCAAGCGAATTTTAAAATTTTGGGGTTTATTCTTTTAGTCAAAAGTGTATTTCTATATCAAAGATACACTCAAATAACCATCACTTAGCTCCTCATGAGTAACGCAGGCTCTGAATAATTACCAAACAAAACTTGATTCAATGTTACCTCAATCCCTACTTTTGTCACAAAGACATGTAATACATAGTTTTGATTGTCAAGTCATGTGAGCAACTCCCATTTACAGGATTATTCTAGAACATTGAAATTAATAAGTTACCTTCCGATGCAAACTCTTCAAGATGACGTATAGTGTCTGCAGTGAATTCTTGGTCCGATGCTAGTCTGTCATAAATCACATTATCCTGAAAGAAAGAATGATTACTATAAGAGTGATCGTATTGCTCATCTCATATTCTTGACTATGATACAGTGTGAATACATGTACAACCTACTTGTATGCTAAATATATGAATAATGTGATGACGTTCATACATCTTTTACCCCCGGTACATACTTTTAATAAGGGGGCCTACACATGAATTATTTCTGTCTATATCTTTGATATGATTTAAAATGGGGTTTTGTTTAAAGTTGTTAATGTAGTTTATACATACAATACGAAGCAGTATGAAGCAATTGAATATATCATAATGAATAGACAATAAGAAGCTAATACATGTATACTAGGTGTACACTTACCGCTCCTTTACAGAATAGAAGTATAGTTCCATTGCTGGTCCTGACAATCACAGACATCCTTTTACGATCACTGCAGGAAGATAATAAAACCAATCAGACAATAAGTGGGTAATGATCTTTACTTGGAATTTGAAGAAATATGTGCTATGTTCCTACCTGTCAATTAACAGATGGATAAATAGCCAACTGTATTGCCCATAGTTTTGTAGTGAATGGATAAATCAAGAAATTGTGCAACCATCACCATGTCGTGAGGATCACAACTGTTCATTCATAGACTTAAAGAATAATACAGAGCATGAAATAAACTTGCATCCTTTGAAAAGGAAATACCTTCATACAATAATAATAGAATTGGACTACATTGAATTTATTTTCCTTCAATCATAGAAAACCAAATAAATATAGTGAAGAATGATTTCTTCATCAAATTGTATATTTATTATATGAAAATATGGAAGGATAACTCACCTTGTAAAATCAAGAACATTCAGAATTTCATATTTTTCCTGCTTGCCCATCTGAAATATAAAAGAAAACAGTCCACAAAGTTCAAAATGAGCGTTTCCCTGTTACAGCAATTTATGGGTGCATGGTATGAAAGAATCCAAATACAGTTGAATATTTGTCTGTAAGGAACTCCAGTTTAGCCCACTTACATCATCACGTTGAAAACCCTTTCCTGTATTTCTCCCTCTGTCTAAGCTCATCCTGTACTTCCAAATCTTATACTTTTCTCCACATTCATTTCATTTACCCCTCTAATCAAATTGCCTCATCTGTCATGAACACTAGATTTAGCCAAACCAGTTCATCTTCATAATATCCAATAGTCTCAATCCACATTATATCTTACATCCAGAGTATCATTTTTCTTCTCTCAAATCCATCTTTCCTATTTTGTCATCAGTGCCAAATGACAGTTTTTGTTATAAGCTACTGAAATCCTTGCTTCTGATTGGTTATCAGCAGATTTGTCACTGATATTTGTCATTTGTCTTTGAAAAAAGGCATTGAGAAACACCCTCCAGCTTTGAGCCTGGGTATGAAACTTACCACGTCTATTTCTACACTGTCTGGTGTCCTCTCGATGAACCTGAATCCAAGCCTGGCCGCTGCCTCAACAAGTGCGCCCTCATCTGTCAAGAAAGGTACATGGATTGTTCAACAAGGCCTTTCTACACATTTTATCTCAATAATATATCATGTTTATAAAAGTGTTCAACTGGCAGCCATCAACTGGAAATGTCAATTATTTCCCTTAATTCCTGAACCATCATACACTCTCACTTTAGATATGCCTTATGAATTGAGTATTTATAAAGACTTGGTTTACTTACTAACAATTTTAACATTACATATTCAATGAGAAAAATTACGGGGTAATATTCAACTGGATCAGAACATAATGACACATCTGACATACAGAGATTGAAGAAAAATTGAAATAGTAGTAAAGGTGTGTTGGTCATTTACCAGGTGAGGAAGCTTGGTAGATGATTTCGTCATTAGAACCTTTCTCTGGAACCACTGTATGACACACTGCCATCATGGTGACAAACATACGTATATGTGGGGCTGTGGTCTAAAAACATAAACATACAAAGAGTCAAGTACATGGGGCTGTAAACTTTAAACACACACAAATTTGAATAGCTGTACTTATGAGCAGCGTTTCATGAAACCTTCATAAGTACGAGTTCAGCGACATCCCATTGAAATGCGTGTTAAACTTAATACACGCATTTCAAAGGGATGTCACTGAACTTGTAGTTATGACAGTTTCATGAGACGCAGCCCTAATGTACAATACAAATATTTGTATACATGTATGTGGACCTAAGTACTTATATAAACATATATTTGTACAAAAATCAGTGACTTAAAGTGCAAATAAATAAGCAACAATTCAACACTCATGGTTCATTCAAAAGTAAACATACCGATTTATTATACTAGGTGCTCCTGTTTTTCCATTCATTCTAATGTCATGGTTGTTGTATCAAGTATTCATTTCCTATAAAAGATCTTGTAAAAATTATCTTTGCAATTCCTGATATTAAGAGATAAATAAATAACTTGTCTTCTCAGATAGAAAGTACTGAATAATCTTGACAAAGTGACCTTACATGCGTCTCCAGGTGATCGGCCATCTTGTTATCTTTGAAAACACCTACATCAGGGTTATCACTAAAAACAAAGGAGAGAAAAAGGATACAATCATTTATTAAAATATCAAATATGAAACCTAAGATTCATGTAACTTGCAATAAAATCATTGAAAATACATGGCAAATACATGGCATAAGAAAGAAAATAACCATAAATGGGTTAAATCAGCATATTTGTCCACCCTTAAACGAGCAATATTTTTCAGGGAAAAAAACATAGCACAAATAAAAGATAGGAAAAAGTTGATAGCGTAACACATAGTCAAAGGAGATCGATTCAAGATATAGCATAGGGCATCAGGAACTTTAGGAATTTTGAAAAATCTTGATAACATTAACAATCAGTTTGACATTATCCTTTTTCATTGACTTTATCCCTTTTCTCTTTTTTCATGTAAATCTAACACTTATATCACTAATCTGTCATATCACCTTCAGTAGTGAATAGTTTACACCTTCAGTAATGACTACTTTACACCTTCAGTAGAGTTTACCTAACACCTTTAGTAGTGAATACTTTACACCTTCAGTAGAGTTTACCTAACACCTTTAGTAGTGAATACTTTACACCTTCGGTACGGAATACTTTACACCAAGAATGGGAAGGATGGCTATTTATAAACATTAAGTACTCCTAATCCACCAAGGTGTTAAATGGGTACCCGTTAGGATGCGACCGTCATTGTTGGTCAAACAGTTTTTGAGCGTCATGTAACGCCTGGCTGGAATGCTCCCCAGGGTGTGGAGATTGTGCACACAATGTGTGCGGGAAAGCACTGAATCCAATGACCAGGGTAATAGTATATCTGTAAAGCCCTTAGAGACATTTTTATTAAGCGCTATATAAAAATTAAATATTATATGTTATCTTACCCGTAGATGATTCCAGCTATCGTGCATATCTTGAACTCCATGATGTTCTGTGTGAGGGTACCGGTCTTGTCTGAGAAGACGTATTTGACCTGACCTAGTTCATCATTGAGATTAGATGTTCTAGCTGCTGCTGGTGTGTCTGTCTCTGCATGGTACATATCAAGGTCCTGATGAGGGATAACACACAAATACAAACATTGAGTTGATTTATTTTCCACATTTCCATAAAAATAACAAAACAATATTCATGATATAAATAATAATTATTAAACACATTAATGACAAAATACAAATTAGGAAGAAAACTAGATGGAATTTTGACTGCGCGCAGTCGAAAATGATGCCTCCGCCATAGAGCAATTTAAACAAGTTTGGAGTTTAAATCTCCAGTGGTTCTTGAGATATCATGATAACAATCTCAATGTATGGAATTTCATAAGTTGACCTCTGTGACCCTTGACCTTTGACCTACGTGCTCCAAAATCTAATCAGATTGTCTTTCTATGGTGATACACACTATCATTAAGTTTGAAGTTTAAATCTCCAGTGGTTCTTGAGATATTATGATATGGTGATACATACTATCATTAAGTTTGAAGTGAAAATTCTCCAGTGGTTCTTGAGATATCGCGATAACAATCTCAATGTATGGTAATTTCATAAGTTGACCTCTGTGACCCTTGACCTTTGACCTATGTGCTCCAAAATCTAATCAGATTGTTTTCCTATGGTGATACACACTATCATTAAGTTTGAAGTTTAAATCTCCAGTGGTTCTTGAGATATTATGATAACAATCTCAATGTATGGAATTTCATAAGTTGACCTCTGTGACCCTTGACCTTTGACCTACGTGCTCCAAAATCTAATCAGATCGTCTTCCTATGGTGATACATACTATCCTTAAGTTTGAAGTTTTTACATCTCCAGTGGTTCTTGAGATATCATGATAACAATCTCAATGTATGGAATTTCATAAGTTGACCTCTATGACCCTTGACCTTTGACCTACGTGCTCCAAAATGTAATCAGATTGTTTTCCTATACACCGATTCGGGCGACTTCTGGTGGAAGTGCGCCCTCATCAGGTGACGCCATAACTGGGGGGCGTCTAACTGCAGCTAGCTAGCTTACATTGCAACGGGTATGCTTTACCTATACCGAACCTCGCCCAGGCCGGCCAGGGTCGCTGCTCCGCTAGCTAGTAACCGCTCTCGAGCTCTCTGTACTGTCAGCTGGATCGGAGAAGCCCCCCAGTTATAGCACCGCCACCGGCGGGCAGGTACATAAAACCCCCAAACCGAATCGGTGTATAGTGATACACACTATCACTAAGTTTGAAGTTTAAATCTCCAGTGGTTCTTGAGATATCATGATATCAATCTAAATGTATGGAATTTCATAAGTTGACCTCTGTGACCCTTGACCTTTGACATACGTGCTCCAAAATCTAATCAGATCGTCTTCCTATGGTGATACATACTATCCTTAAGTTTGAAGTTTAAATCTCAAATGGTTCTTGAGATATCGCGCTAACAAACTCAATACAAGGAATTTCATAAGTTGACCTCTGTGACCTGTGACCTTTGACCTACGTACTCCAAAATCTAATCAGATCGTCTTCCTATGGTGATAAATACTATTCCCGAGTCTTAAGTTTAAATCTTAAATGGTTCTTGAGATGTTGTGATAACGGTCAAACGGGACGGACGTACGGACGGACAACCCGAAATCATGATGCCTCCGGCACCACCTTCGGTGGCGGAGGCATAAAAAATCAACAAGAATAAAAGCAGAAATACAGAATAACATTAGACTAAAAACAAACTAATGTCCACATGGGAGATTATAAAAAGTGATAAACTTAAATGTGTAATTTATGTTGGAAAACACAAGTTCAAAGCACTGTGAAAAAAAACAATAATTCACATTTAAGGTAAAATAATTATTACAGATTTGAAGAGAACATTCCTGATTAAGGAGATAGAGAAGAGAAGCCCAAACTCACAAAGTTGATGAATAGAGCCTGACCAAACTTGACAAGCTCCAGCGTAACAGGAAGACTGATAGGGATGAGGTTGTTGTACAGGATGATGAACGTCAAGAAGTTGAAGAAGAAGCCATTGGGAGGCTGGTCTGAAAGAAAAACAACCATGCAACCGTTAGAGGCCATGGAATACTTTGTACCTTTAGCAGTATATGGTATATTTTTTGGAGACATTACACATGCATCTATGCATCAAATTATATAGGTTTGTGATATGGCAATAATGTTTACATCCATTTCTGTTTTAAGCATGTATTTCTTTTTCTCAGTATGCTTATAATTTCACAGCTAATCAATATTAATCTTTATTCATATTTTTGATTATATTTTTGATTCTACAAAGTGTGATAGAAGACAAGACTTGGTATTGCACAAAAATATATATTATTGATAAATTTGTGCAGCCCTGGTCCAAATAGTACTAGGTCCATAAGGGTTAGCTCAGGATATATCTTATTGGACAAATTAACCACAGAATCAACTGGTTGAAATTGAATACAGAATATAAACCAATGATATTCACTTAATTAGATAACAATCCTTCTTCCAATTGATAAATAGCTCACCTTCGAATCCCAGGTACCAGTCCTTGTGGGAGTGGTTCTTGTTCCAGATCTCCGCTGCTATGGCACTGATTAGGGCCAGGACCATTAAGATCAGGAACAAGAACAAGATCTGAAAGGAAATATGAAAAACACATGACTCATTGTATACAACTTGCTCAATGCATAGTCTTCAAGGCAGCCCATCAAGTTTAGCTTAAAAACAAGTTGGACAAATTACAATGACCCTTTACTTGGGTTTTTCGAAGAGGAATTACATGGCTGGATGAAGGGAAACTATTAGGTTTAACAAACAACAAAATACAATCCTTAATTAATCAAGTATTGTATTGATAATTATTCAGAGCCTGAGTTGCCCATGAGGATCTGAGTGATGGTAATTTGAATTAGCAAGTAATTATTTTTCATATCAAACTTCTCTTGTCCAACCTCCATTCATTACTTCATTTCATATTAAGCAAAGTGTAGCTCAAGACTAACCAAATAATGCAATATTTGTGATTTTTTTTTTTTTTTTTAAATAATTAAATGAAGCTTTCTAATTTCAAATGGAATTCAATCCTACCTGGATGTTTGTAGTTCTATCAACAGTTGACCTCTTTAACGGAGCAGCCTTGGAATTCTATAGGAACAAAGAGATGAAACTAATAATAATACATTACCAAAACTCATTTTACAATTGTGTATGATTGTAACAAATTAATAGAAAATACTTTATTTGTTTAACTGTGAAATCATAAAATCTCACAACTGCTTTATAGCAACAAAAAAACAAAACTAATAATAATACATAACCATAACTCAATTTACAATTGTGTCTTAATCTACATGTAACATAGGCATCATATATGATTGTAACAAATTATTAGAAATCATCTGATTTGTTTAATCGTGAAATCATCAGATCTTACAATTTTAACCTGCTGTACAGCAACAAAAATCTTTTGTTTTCTCCTGAAAAATGAAGAATCCTTCCTGAAAGCATATAACATTTTGTACTCATGTACATGTATCAATACTTCTAATGGTTCTTCTCAGTAACAAACTACCTGAAATATTAAAGATGAAAGTGGCTTCACAGATGGAATCTAACATGCACAGATAACTTGCTGCTATGTTGGGCAAGCATTTGGATAAATGAAAGCAATTTAATACAGAATTATGCAGAAATACCAAATACATATTCTTTGTCATACCAGTAATAGCTTGCTCTCATGGCCTGTATAGATAACAATAGCATTTATCCACTTTGTGTTTCTTAGCATCGCCCCTCTCAGTAAGATTTGATCTGTGCTTAGGGGTACAGCCCTGAAAGGATAAAAAAAAAGTTCATTCATCAACAGTGTACAAAGTATTCAAACAAATACAGAGAATATTAAAATGGTATCAATACATTTTCTTTTCCTAATATCATCCCGACACATCACTGATAATCTCTCTAATATGAATTAGATTTAATTACAATTACATCCAGCTTTGTTGGTTTATGGTTCCTTACAACAGTAGTATTGGATACCTTGAAAGTACGGGATTATTTGTCCTTAGATCCAATGAAAAGATATACTCATTCAAATAACTATAAGAGATTTTATTGGAATTTGGAAGGACAAACATAATTCTAACAAAAAAATCTAATAATTTTCATTTGAATTGTTCAAAATTGGACAGAAACAATTCTGATTTTCAAAATGAAATCATAGAATGTCCTGATATTTTCATTTAATAAACTATCCTACTAAAAAAACACATAAATGTTAAAAAAAAGATACATACCGTAAATCTCCGTGTATAAGGCACACTTTTTTGCCGCCAAAAAAAAATGAAAGTCGGGGGGTGCGTCTTATACACAGGTATATTTTTTTTTTAAGTTTTTTTTTTTAGTTTCGATTTATGGCGCTATGCCTGGCAATATCTCCCAGCTCAGTAATCGGTGTGTTGACTCACCACTCGAAAACTACAACAACACTTAAATTTCTCTGTCATCTTGGTTTGAAATTAACCTGTCTAATAGATCTCAATATGTAGTTTAAAATAATAATTCCTTAAATTTTTTTCTATTTATGGTGTACCACAAGGTTCTATCCTAGGTACTCTATTGTTTTTAATTTACATTAATGATCTTACACATTCTTCTAAAAACGACATTGTTACTATTATTTGCGACTAGTTCACAAGCACAAATCGGCGCCTTCAACTGCACCTCCATGTTAAATGAAGGACCAACCCCGCGTGGGTTTTTCAGCAACAAAACAACAACAACAACAACAAAACAAACAAAAAAGGATTTTATTTTTTATTTTTATGCCCCCAAAATAGGGGTGCGCCTTATACACAGGTGCGTCTTATACACAGAGATTTACGGTATCCAAGAGTTCAAATTACTTACAATGTGTGGTTTTGTTTGACTTTCATGTTTCCTACAAACTCATAGAGATGTCTGTTTGGTAGTTCACATTCTATGGTCCCATCTATTGTCATAAGATCAGCTTCTGAGCAGTACTTCGCCGTCTGAGGTAAACCTTGTCTAATCTTCAGGTTTGTCTCTCCGTCAAGCTGAGCTGTCTCGATGTAACACATGGCCTGAGGGGCACTGAAAGAAGGAAAGAAATCACAATGAATCAATGGAATAAAATAGAGGATGGACTCAATGGAGAAGTAAAGTGGTCTGGGACCCGTTTCAAAAAGCCTTTTTACAATGACAAGTGACAAAAAAAGTGACAAATCTGCTGATAACCAATCAGAAGCAAGGATTTCACTAGCTTATAACAACAAATGTCATTTGGCACTGATGACAAGTTTTGTGAAATGGGGCCCTGGTGATTACAAACAATCCAGGTTCACACATAAGGAGCATCTTCCACATGGTGACATTAAAAATTGTTCCCCAATGTCAATAATCATATCAAATTCATACAACAACACTTATAAAGTGAACAGTTGTTAAAATGAAATTGGAGCTCTTCATCACAGCATACAAAGAACATCTCTGAGTCATCATACCCCAACAAAAATATTATAGAATCTATTTCACCCAGTACCCACTGTACATTAAATTTTAACATAGAAATCGTTCTGAATCCACAATGTCCCAGATGAGTACAAACAGAATTTGTATGTACATCACCGTGGCAATTACCAAACAAAACCAAAACAAATTAAAGGTCAAATATCTTCACAATATACACAATGATGAGAAATTTTATTTATGAATGTATACATGTTGAAGGGAAAGTGAATCAGGAAGAAAAGTAAATATCACTTATTTTCAGAAATGCATGTGTTTCTTTACCTTGATGCTAAGAGAACCAAATCAGCAGGGAAGAACTCTCCTCTTTTCACCCGCACCACATCACCTACTCCCAACTGTACAAAAACACATTGAATCATTCATTTTAGATAGGCTGTCAAGATGTATTAAAATTTTGTTCAATTTCCTCTGTATTTGTCATCTTTAATTTGTACAGGCCCTCCTAGAAAATTAGTTAATACTGATAGAGCTAACCTGTTTCATAAAAAGAATGAATAAATAGATAAAATAACATGACAAATGCGTGAATAAGTGATTGGAAGTAAGGCACAAATATAGCTGAAATGTGAACACAATGGTATATATGTGTACAGATAAGATACCAGCAAGTTTATATTGAGTAACTATAGTAATATAGGCCTATATTGCATCCATGTATCATTGCAGCATCCCTCAAGGTTGCTTCAATGTCACCCATATATCATACAGTGTATACCACAAAAATATATTCTGACAGTGTATACCACAAAAATATATTCTGACAGGTCTGATTTGTGATCTTTACGATGTTTTGAATTTCGATTAACAAGGATTTGAGGGCAAATTACTCTATGGATGTCTATATTATAATACCTTCTAGATTAAGAGAAAAAGAAGCTTCCCTTTTGGTAGAATTTTTTCGAAATGACTCCCTACATGTACATGTATACATGAAATTGGTTTAAACTCTGCATGTGTCCATGGCCATTCACACAAGATCTAGACAGAATCTGATATTAACCACCATCAGGAATCATAAAACCCTGCTTTTTAATTTGATGACATACCCTGTAGCTATCACCATGGTTATTGATGGGACTACCATGGATCCTGGGTACTTTAATTACAATGGAACAAACCCAGGTCAGCTGTGGTTTATTTAGCTGCTACTCATGCACAGGACCTCTTAATAGCAATCACATGAATTCTTCATATCAAACCAGAGCTGACGGTACTGAGTCTATTTATTGCTCTGCTCTGTAATGAATGACTGATCATGCCTACCAGCTGAGCCATGTACTTTGCAATTTGTCATGTCATTTATTTATACCATTCAGAGTGACCACAGGAGGTGGTCATACTGTTTAACATGAAATTCAGACAGCGATATATTTTAATAAAAATAAAAATCATTAGTAATAGAAAGAACTTTATATATCATGATCTTGTAAATACATCACAACAGAAATTCAAGGAATTTGTGGATTTTAAAGATGTTTTTCTACTTCTGTTGCTGACAGCTGAATTTAAGGTATTATAAAGACATCACAGAATAGTTTATATCACCATCAAAGTTTAAATAAATCTAGAATTCTTTATGATTAGTTTCTAATAAAGTATACACACATGGTGGTATGCCATGTTATTTCTTAATGCACAAAATATGACATGAACATGTACAGGTAAATGTTAACAAATGGACTATTTTATGACACAATATGCAACACCTAGTGTTGAAAGTTAACTGATATCTGTTGTTACCAAGTGCAGGTAATGTTTGGAATGAATGTTTCTACGTGTCATCCTGCCCTAATGAATGTTTCCTGGCAGTTTCTCAGACCCATTAGCACACCACGATGGTAATGGAACATTCACAGTTGACATGTGTTGCAGAGTGTGGTGTTGAGTGATGATTCATAGTTTACATGTATGATCTCCGACAGTGATATTCATGAAGATGAGTGGTAGAATAGTACAATGATCTCAACCAAAGTCCAATATAAAGCATGCTTTATAATATAAAGCTCAGTCTGAAGGTTTATAAAGATTTAAATGGGAAGGAGAATACAAGAGAGATTGACAGAAAGGCACACATAGGACTAAATAGAGAGAAACAGAAGATAAGAAAGACAGATGAGTGGAGAGTGAAAGAGAGTGATAGACAGAGAAGAAAGAAAGACACAGATACAGATATGTAGTGCACACATGTTTTGACCCCCCCCCCCCTCAAAAAAAAAAGGGTAAACATTGACAGAAAAAGGAGAGAAATAGGAAAGAAAGACAAGAAAGACTACCTAAGAGAAAAACAGGCAACTAAGAAAGAGAATGGTAGTACATTTAAATGAAAGAGAGAGAAAGAAAGAGAAAGATGGGTACGTGTATAATAATACTAATAATATTCGGTTCTTGTATAGCGCATAATAAGAAAGTGATGTGATGTGATGTGATGATTTCTCTGTTTGTTGTTTTTATTTGTATTTTCTGTAAGTTCATTTAGCTGTTCATGAAATAATTTTAATGATGAAAGAAAACTTTGAACCACACTCACCTCTCTCCATCTCATAGGAACCCACATACTGTCCCTCAGCACTGGATAGTAAAACAAACAAGGAAAGACAATTAGTGCTTTCTACGTTTGAAATACAAATGACACTCCTTTTTTTCACTGCACAATAACATTAAAAATTACAACAAATCTTGTTTCTTCGATAATGAAACAAATATCATCATGAAAGCAAAATCTACATTTTATCACGTAACATATTAATTCAACATTCGGCATTATATTCCTTATGGAATATTTTATTACTTGAAGATTTACTTCCTTATTCATTCAACTCTTTAATAAAATATTTTCAAAGGAATTTTATGAAGCTTTTACAACATTAAATTGTGCCATGGTATAGGTATAAAGATACTAATAAAATGTGATATCTTTGTCTTCCTCCTCTTTAGTTTGAATAGTTCAGAGCAATGACTGTCATAAAAATGCTTTTACAGCCCTTTGCAACTGTGTACACATACCCATCCATCATAAATTTCTTTCGTTTTTTGTTGCCGTTGTCGTTTCATGTTACTTTTGGGAGATGATTATCAATTTTGTGGATCACTACATGAGCTCTTAGCCTGCTCTTCCATTGGATTTATATCTTTGCTATTATTAGAACAAAAGAATGCAGAGTCTCTCCCTTCTCACTATGACATCATGCTTGTAGATGTTGTTGCTTAGCAACCCCTAACCCAAGGGTTTGGGTTTTTATCTGATGACTAGCCCTACATCACAGCTGTTATACCCATTTTAGCAAATGACTTTTTCCATACATTACAGGTACTCTTGGAAAGTAATCTCCGATGTCTGGGAGGCATACATAGCAGAGACATTTGCCTGCATTCTAGCTATTGTAACTTACTTTATGTGTACAATGTATAATGACTAAAACCACGCTATCACAAAAACCATATGGATAACACCACAGCTCCACTAAATTAGTTTTTTATTTTTCAAGGTACCAAAACAAGAAATTTAAATGATTTGATCTACTAGCGATACATGAATTTGTATCAAAATGATTTGTAAGTAAGAAGAAAAAAATTGCAAGCATCTTGAAAATAGGAAACAAGATTGGTTTTTGGTACATGTATACATGCAATGTAGGAAAATTTACCATATTGTTATTTCTACGGATTGATTTGATTGATTTCTTACCTAAAACTTTTCTGTTGTTCACCTCATCATCTGCTTTATGTCTTTTCTGAAAGTTAAAAATGATCAAAGCAACAAAATTAATATTGTGAAATAATGAAATTATGTTCAAATGACTGAAATTTGTTTTAAACATCAAACATTTACAATGAAGGCTTTATGTAGTCCATGTAAGCATATCAGGAGCTCTTGTAGCGCAGTAGAATATATACTTAATGTCGGATAGTTTCTGCGCTCTATAAATGTATTATTATTATTATTATCATTATTATTTAATATATATACAATACATTGCAAGTTTACATCTTGTTCTTCACATACAATACACTACATGTATATCTACAGTCCATGTTTACAAAATCTTTCCAAGTAGATTTTATTGCTCTTTACATGAAAAGAGTATATTCCGTTTAAAATGGAAACAATGATCCTTACACTTAACTTGAAATAAGCCTTTGTATCTGGATAATTCATTGAATTGCAATACGAAAAATTAATTCTTCTATATTCACCTCAATATCTGATATCCCTTAATTTTACAGTTCATAACTATAGACATCAAAGTACTTTAACAGGATACATGTCATGATACTAAACCAGGCAAATATTATCATTATTTCAATATTCTGAAACCAATATGTATATAAAAAAAACATTAAGGAATAATGGTAATGCATTCATAAAATGCATTGTGTGTGTGTGAAAGTAAATAATTATAAGCATGTAGGCAAATATATACAAATTGTAAAAGGTTAGTGTGATTTGTTTTAATATGTGCATTGTAATTGTAAAATTATTGTACCTTGTAACAAGGCCAATGGTAATAAAATTTCAATGTTTAGCCATGGATCGATAAAGATGAAATGAAATGAATAAATTACCCACACATATCACAAGGGGCAGGTCACATATCATTGATTTGATCATGGTAGTGATATTGATTTTAAAGATGTACTCAGCAAATTATGATAATAAGCCTTCAATATTGATATTCTTGGATCCAATACATTTTATTGTTACTCTTATCAACTCATTAATATAGGACCAACTCTTTACACATTCAACTACACATAGGTTCCTCATCCTCAGTCAGAATGAATTAAACATAACCTAGAGGTAATTAAATCAGTAATGACAATGATATACATACACTCCAGTGTATCATCCTAATTATGAGGTACATGTAGGAAGGATAAGAGGAGGGAGTGGTATGAATGCATTCAACACACCCAAACACAATCAGACCGCACATACAGTCAAGATCGAGTAACCGATGGGATGATGATGATGATGATGGTGGTCATGACCTTATACCAGGCAAGGTTGATGCTGATGTATTGTTGATGATGGGATGCCAACAGACTGGGATCATCAAGATTATTATTTTGATCGTGATGAAAGATATGAGAGTTCATTGGGGTTTCTGATAAATTGTACATCTATAAACAAAGCTATTTGATAGATTAATATTTAAGAAAGGGTCTAATCATTCAGACAGTATCAACATCACACATACATTTATACGTGTACATGATGACATCCAATCTGATACAGGTAAAACTAAAAACATTGTATTTCATATTATAACAGTTATATGTGTATGTGTGTGATAAATGTAGCAAACTATGGATGAAATCCAACTTACATGTATATACAATGGCTATCCCTACCTTTGGTAAGCCTCTAACAGTAACATGCTTTGAGGTACATTTACGTCGCTCAGAGAACAATGAGGAAAGACTGTAATGAAAGGAAACTGGTCTATATTACAAAAAAAGAATGAATTAGAATCTACATGACTTTATGGGATGATAAGTAGGCTATATAATCAGCCTCTATATATACTTACAAAATCTTCTACGATCTCCTTGGCGGCTGATACAAGTAGAATAAAGATGAGAGGAAGTAGGGTGGTATAATTACCAGTAGGTGATACGGTCGGGATTTGCTGTTAAACACAAGGGTAAAAAAGCAAATGATGAGGATTAATTTCATTTTATTAGTTGCACATACTGTAGATATACAGTACATAATTTGGCTTAATTATGGATTTCAAGTAGTTTATTTTACCCTTAATCCACCTCTATATCGGGACAAATCATAAATAGTACCTTAGTGAAATACAGGTCTACTTAGTATTGCAATCAGCATGTTCTAATGGAGTGGAACATGTGGTAGCGAGGCTGCTTGTTGTAGACATACATGTATGTATATTATGTGTACATGTACGTATAATCCCGATTTAATGAACCCCTTCTCATCTACAATATTGGAATACCACATGCTTAATTACGATTTCACTATGTGCTACACCGCTTTATCTGTTAGAAAAATCAGTGCCATGAAAAAAGCAAGTGACCTTTTGCTGATTTCTGACGATCACTCCCTGATCCTGAGTAAAAACAAGAGGCATTCAATCACACAAAGAGCAATTAGAGATAAATTTGGTTTCTTGAATCGCAATCAGAATATCTCTACTTGCGTATATGTGATGAACCAAAAAAAAAAAAAAAAAATGACTAATTAACAAGTTAAATTTAATTTGTGATGTTGAAATCACACTCTGTGCATATTGGGGCCTTTGGGGGGAATAGCAGAGATTGTTTGCCATACACTGTGTATCCGTGTTGAGAATATTAAAGTGAGATACGAAAATTTGAAAAAGCTAGATTAAAATAGCAAATTTGAATCTTCTTTTTTATTCTGTTTGAGAGTGCATATACATGGATACGCACAGGGCTGACTAGAGAACGAAGCACAGGGAAAGCAAGAACTAATACAATATAAATTGAGATATTTACACTCCTCTGTTTATAAAAATAGCAACATTGCACACTAATTGATAATTAGCTACACAGGGCAATCTTGGCTGCCTACTGAGGCACAAAAGCCACTTGATTACAATTTTCATGGACCTATGCATTATAATGTACATGCATGCAAGCAATACACACTACTAAATGTATAGGCCTACCCATAGAAGCAAATTTTTAAAAATTGCAACAAGGCATCTCATTATTAAATTAATTAATTGACTCTTCAACTAAGTATAATTTCTAATTTCAAAATGTGAAAATGTAGGCAGCCATTTGTTTAATAAAATACAGTGACCCAAAATACATTAGATAATAAAATTATATGATATACTGTACTATCTAGATGGCAAGATAATTTCTCTGATTCTACATGAAGAATGATTCATTACATATTGCTACATCATTGTATCTCAGAATCTTAGATCTCAGAAACATTTTATTACACAACAGCAACAAAAAAAATGAATTGACTTGCGAAGTATCTTTAGAGTAAATTCCCTCCTAAATTGGCAAGGGGCCTAGCATTAAATTAAATATAAACACAATTATTTGACTGATGACTGATTCACACTCATAAAATTGGCACCTCGCCTGGTTTTCCCCCATCATCCCCTTGACGCATGGGAATATTAAATTGTGCATTGATAATTCTGCAAACTAATTATCCATAACATCCTGGCCATATTTACGCAAGTAACACTGAACTACCTGCGTTAATTACGTGAGGGAAACAGGAGTTTTGACTTCAAACTGACAAGGATAAACTGGAGTTTCTTGCCCTAGCTGTGAAAATGACTGACCTCTGGTTAAATTGGATAGGGGAAATGAAGGGGGAAATTATGCAACATCCTAGCTATATGCTGGATATGATACTCAAGCTTCTCCAAGCTAGCTTTCTATGTGTTTCATTACATTGCCACCTCTGTGTACCCATAAGCATACGGGTATACATGTACATGTTAGTTCATTTTTTCAATTAAAAATCCTAATAGCTTGTTTTTACCATCTGCTTTCTTAACATAAGACTATTAATAATTGTACATTCATGAACTCCCCCAAAATACAATTAGGTGCACAGTGACCACCCTGCCCCCCCCCACCCTCCACCCCCAAATGATATTTTTGAGAGCTCTGTAGCCAAATCTTTTTTTATTTTTGACCATATTCCTTTAATTCAAATACATGAAGACTCTGTAAAAGGGGCAAAAAAAAATGACATGTAAAATATATTTTTTCTAGTAATATTCCCATTTCGTCATCAAAATGTATCGCACACACACTATCTGTCCCCATAAACAAACATGAGGAGTGCATGCATCAAAGTTATTTGTCTTTCACAAATGTCTCCTCACATAACTGCAAGAAATGAACCAACTTACCTGAAGTAAAGCGATGAAGAGGAAGAAGACGTTGGCATAGCGACGGAACTGCTCAAACAAAAACTTTGGAAAGAAAGTGATGAAGGTGTACTTTCCAGTGCTGCAGTAAAAGAGAGAGAAAGAAAGATGTACATGTAACACACCAATGAGATATTAATCTGTATACAAGGTACTATATGCAAATGTAAAATCATCAATTCTCTGTGGAATCTGGAATCAGAAGGGCAAACTTAACTTTTACCCAGAGTTAAAAGGTCACTTTTGGCTCACAACAGACAATTTCATGAAAGTATTAAACATTTGTTGATAATATCAAGTATTGTTCATTTATTCTATCAATGTCCTTGCAATGTTGCTATAATATAATGGTGATATAGATTATAGAGTATATGTTTATAAAAATGAGCTGAAGAATGTAGCCAATGAGAAGGGTCGAAATGGATCACGAGAGTGTGCATTAACTTTTACCATATGCACAGGAGTGCATTTTGGTATTGAAAACCATCCATTTCTTGACTTTATACTCATATTGTAGACCCATCTTATAAAACAATTTTGTTAAAGCTTGTGCATTAGTGATATGCACTGCACCTGGTTAAGTCACAATGAGATGGACAATGAACTTGACAAGTCTTGTTTATTATCCTACTGTGACTTAGCCTGCATGTAGCACATATTCACTAATACACTCGCAAACATGTATTATTTATATAATGTCAACCACCTTTTGATATCTACATGTATGTAAGTGCGCTCTTTGAAATATAAAAAGTACCATCGTGTTCAAAGTACAACATATATTTTGTAATTAATTGAAAGAGAATACATACAGAACTGGTTTTATTTAAACGAGACAAATATGCAACCAGGGCTACCAGGCAGTCACATTATTTACTCATGTACTTGAACCTGCATGTACACTTCATGTTTCTAGCATAAGTACAATGTGGACATTCAATCTTAGATGGCATGATATCAAATCAGCCCATGCTTTTATAGGCAGCAAAGTAACAAAGCAATCAATCGCCAATTATATGTCTCTACAAAAATAAATGAAAATAGGAAATTAAAAAAAATATCAAGGTAATTTACTGAGTTCCCTTAACAAAGTACATGTACACAAATCTTTTTGCAACAAGGTATAAAGATAATAAATTAGCGTCATACATTTCATTCATTCTAGAATAGATACAAAGTGCACAATCCAAACACAGGATGAATGTTTAAAAGAAATAGTAGGATACATTTTTGGTAATAAGACATGTCACCAGGGTACCGGTATCCTTTTTCTCTCATCATAACTATGCCTGTCTTCAGCAGCTCGAGATTGCCAAATAGCCAGCTATTTCTAATTTGGGAAATAATCCTGAAGTTACAAATCGCATCTTCATCAGCTCGAGACTTGATCCTCGAAACTTGACACTCTAGCTCGAGAAATTAGCTTGAGATATTTTGCTCAGAGTTTGCGCATAATGCGAGTCTTCGGGCTAGTGAAGACGCACCGGACAAATAGCAGAATATCTGCAAACTAGCCCAAGATATCTTGGGATGATTATCTTGACCAAATATCCCGCTAATTGCAACTTCGGGCCGATGAAGACGCAAATTAACTGGATAATTTGCGATCGGGATAGTTCAAATAGCGGGATATTTGGCAATCTCGGGCTGATGACGACAGGCCTATTATAAGGTCTGTAGATGCCTGCCTTCATGGCATCCTGCACCCTCCCCTGGAGGTCATAATCCACCAAGGCTCATCTCTGTCATCTCCCATCTGGTGATGATAGCATCAAATATTCATTCAACCTCAACTCAGTCTCATTACTATGTCCACAGCCCTTTATCATACTAGATACTGCAGTGAAGGGATGGGATGGGATAGTAGTTTACTATCATCACCATAATTAAATATTCATTTTTAAATCCCCAGTAGGCTCAGTTAGAGGTCAATATAATACTAAATATAGGACTCATTTCTGTCATCTCCCATCTACATGTAGGTAATGATAGCATGAAATATTTATTTAATCTCAACTCTCATTACAATGTACACAACAGCCCCCTGGCTAGACTAGACACCAGTAGATCTAGTCACGGTTGTGAAAGTAGTTTACTATTATCATATAATATGATTTATTTAATTATTTTGTTCTGTTTTTTGTCTAAATCCTGAGTTTGAGGTCATGGTAATGTAATAGATTAGTATTACCATCATAATTTATCATTATTTAGTTCTAAGTCCTCTGTTACATTGTAAGTTATAATATATAATATCCCTCATGTATAGTTGTTTGCATTGCGATTGTACAGAGCACGAAAAAGGTATACATAAGTACTATCTACCTGAGATAGTACTTATTGTAAAGTAATTTTTTGCTGCTACCCCACTTGCCCACCCTTGCCCATTGAATACGCATAGCAAAGTAGGTTACGCGAAATGTCAAAGTCAATGTCAATGTCAAATGAGCGCGCATCAACTGTATTACATGTATGCATGTTGCGCTTTGTAAAATCTAGCTGAAGCTAAACTGTCTGCAGAATCAGTTCTTATTATTATGTAAAATTCACTTTAAATAGACCTTATTGCCGATGTGGGATATGAAACAAATATTAACCTCCTTTACTCGGGCAATGGATACAAACTATCATCGCCTCAGTGACGATAGTTTGCACCATTACCCTCGTAGTCGATTAATATTTGCTTACTACTTTTAGGCTTATCTGAGAGATCTCCCATCAAGTAAAGATGGCATGAAATATTAATTCGACCCTAACTCTCATTACTATGTACAGTGTACATGTACACTGGTCTCTGAATTATATACTGCAATCAGGGATGGACTAGAATATATTTCATGCATTCTGGCTATATTAGAATATCCGGGATTCAGTGTCTGTTCTAGTACTTGCATCCTTTTATATCATTTCCTTTGATTGCCAGTAACATCTTTCTCATAATAATTATCAATTATACAGACTTAAATACATCTAAACTTCCCTATCTTGTTATCATGTTATTCTGTAATAAGAGACCTCTCTTCTTCTGACAAATTGAAAACATGGAATTGAAGAATAGAATAAGTCTTTTCAATATTGTATTACATCAGGTGATAACCCTTGATAGCATACACTTTAGAATCTCTCATGAGAGGTTATATACTCAATGCACACAGACCATAACATTGCAATTAGACCCCCACTGAAAAAAGAATGGCCGGAGCTCTGTATCAAAGTAGATGGTACACTGTAGCTTTACACATTCCAAATAAAAGAACATAATGACATATAAAGCCCTGACGTGATTGCTCAAACTTATTTCTTACGCCGGGGACCCATTTCACAAAACCTTTTTTCAATGACAAATGACAAAAATCAGTAACATATCTGCTGATAGCCAATCAGAAGCATGGATTTCACTAGCTTACATGTATATAACAAATAGCAAAAACTGTCATTTGTAACTGATGACAAGTTTTGTGAAATGAGGCCCTGTCACACATCAAAACCAATATGAGCAAAGGGGAAATCCTTATTATGTGATTCCAGAGCGGAACCACATGCAGGTCTTTCCTATACGACATGCCTAGGACGTGGTAATTAGTAGCACCGGACAGGGTGGGTTTGGTGCGGGTATGACCAAGATTAAAACCAATTCTATTACGATATCCTTGATCTGGTTGAAGTTTGTGAAAGGTCATGATCAAGAAATGGTTTTAGTTCTGTTTAGAAACCATGGCCATACTGCCTATGGGTACAGGCCAACATGCTGTGACACATACTAACCAACATGTACAGTATGTAATGTGGACAGTACGTGAAAATCATGTATGGGCACAAAAAGCAATTTCTCCCTCAACTCTTTAATTAAAAAGCCACTGTTATCAATGTGATACAATGTAGAAAAATCATCTAATGTCATAGCCTGCAAATTCGTCCCCAAATCATGATTCCTAATTTTAGAGTGAAAAATCATAGAGTATCTAAGATTGATGCTGGAACATGATGCTGGAAATTAGACAAAGCTACCCAACGTGTAACTAAGTGCATGACTGCATGTACATAGTATATTATTCTATAAGAGGACAAACAAAGAAGTAAATCACTAAACATCCTAAACATCCTACCCATCTCCTCTCTGTACACAAACACACATGTACAGCACTTTTCTTTTTTAATGTGATCGTATTGTATTTGGATGACTCAGAATTTAAAAAAAAAAAAAAAATTACTTCAATCTTTAATTCTGGAAATGATTTGAACAACCTGATATTTGTTTTGTATTTCGTCCTCCAAGCTCTACTTGGCAGTTTGTTATTAACAACAAATAAAGTGGTATTATTTCAAGTAATGCTGATAAATATGCTATTGCATTGGATACTGTGTGTGCATGGTTTCCCACACCCTTTAATTCCAATCGGCCCACTGCAATTCAATCATTTCTGTGGGATAATTCAATTTTAGAGCAAGTGGAACGGGGGAGTACTTCTACAGGAAACTTTTCACTTCTCGTTTCCTGTTATCGCAAAAACATGTTATTAATAGACCGAATCAGGAGCCGAAAGGATGGAAAGATCATCCCAGATTTGTATAAAACTTGATATTTTTCAGCCATGTATAAATGTCTAATCATACCCAAACTCAGTACGTAAGTTAATTAATTAGTATCAATTTCCTAATTGTCTATGTGAGGACAGCATGATTACTTGATAATAATCAGATACTTGTTATATTTCCTAGACACATTAGTATGCCTACACGATCATGCTAGATGAATCAACCTGCTACTGCACCATGTGATGATGACTGTGGCAAGGTAATCAATCATGATCTTGTGAGTTCTTATTGCTCAAATGTACAGACACAGCCATTATAGTGACCAAGCAGACCACCTGTCTATATCAGTAAACAATCAAGACTGATTTTTTCAAATCTCTATGGGCTCCTTTTGCTTTCAGTAAGTATGTAACCTTCATCAAAATCAAATGCTTTGGGGCTCCTGTAGATTTTTGGGGCTCTAATTCCATCAAGTGTCAATGACTATGTCAAACTGTTTGAATATTGATACTGTTTTTTAATTTCCTGACAACATACCGTAATTGATTTTTCTTTTGATTTTTTTTGTTGATTTTTTTTGATTTTTTTTTTTTTTTTTGGGGGGGGGGGAGGGGGCTTCTGAAATACTTTGTTGGCAAATTGTTTGCCTCGCTTGATATACACCTATATCTTTTTTTTAAAATATGAAGAGTAGAAAGGGGGGCTCCAAAGCTTCATGGGACAGTAATTTCTCTAATTTTCAATGACCAAAATGGACCAGGCTGAGATAGCAAAATATACAGGATGGTTTAAGAGGGAAGGAGGAGTGGATACTGTCTCTTCAACTGTCTGTTTCCAAGCCTGCACCTGATTGTCTGATATCAGTAAGTATCCTCTGGGCAGATAGAATGAAGAGAAGAGGGAGAGGGATGAAGGGAAGGAGGTACGTAGGAAGGAAGGAGAGAGGAGGCTCCAAGATTGTAAGGTACTTACTCTACTTCATTGGGGCAGTATTTGATTGCCTGGACCTGGTTGATGTTAATGACACGTATGTCGGGGTCTGCTGATGTGCCACAGTCCGTCTGGTCTAGGGGTTGTCCTGATCCCCCAGGCATTGACGACCGGTCTTCCATTTCTGTCAAAATAAAATTATACAAAATATAATCAATCTTCATCTGACTGAAGGAAAAAACTCAATGGAATCAAACAACTACATGTATTCACTTCTTGAAATGTAATGACTTTCACTCATACACACACACAAACGTGAAGACATAATCACCTAGAAATTCTTGAAGGAATATTGTGCACCTCTCTCAGGTTTTAAAAGTAAGATTCTAACATCACCTGTGCATGTACATATACTCTGTAGATTCATATGCAGAGCTACATGTACTAGTGAGCCACTAGCTCACATGACCCCATAGTACAGGGTGTATGCATATCAAGTCATACCGATAATTGGTCCTTCATCATAAAATGTAAGAATTTAATAATTATACTGGTATAATGGTATTGTTGTTCAATTCCACCATGTACTGTGGGTGAGGGATCGGATATCAAGAAGCATGATATTGAGAAGATGATCAGATACAAATATTACAATAAGGATACAATAAGGATCACTTAATAACTTAATACATCTACTTTGTAAAGCTATGGGCAATCAGATTATGACACGCCCAAACATACAATGTATCCATGGCACCCACCACTTTGTAAACCATATCCAGATTTTCTTGTTTGCTCATAGTTTCTTTGGTATTATAAAAAGAGTACATTTATCAAAGTAAGTGCATTTCAAACATATATAGTACATGTATAAAAACCAAAAGAACCTCCCAATAAAACCAAAAGAAAAAATGAAAAGAAAAAAAAAGGTAAGTCCTATCTGATAATGATAGATGGAATATTGCACTTTGCTGTGATCAACTTTACATGGTCTATGGTACGTGTACTTACAAGCCTAAATTATCCCAAACATAATGTTCCTCACAAGGAACCATATGTACTGGATGATTTTGCTATGTGTTTTCATGCCTAATGAGAAAAGATGCTTATTTTGATGTACACTGTACATGTGAGCAGGTAAAATAGTACATTCCAGTCGAGAACGATCTCTTTCAGGTATCATTGACGGAAGAGTTCTCAATTCAGGCTAAGTCCCCTTCCTAAACCTCATTTCCAGAAGATGAGTCATAACAGAGACAGGAGAGAGCATAAAACAATCAACGGACCATCCGAGGGAGCAGGACGTTACAATTTGCTCACTGTGCCATATCCTGATTAATAAGCAACTCGGGCAAGAACTATCATTTTTCCCCCTGCTCTGCTTATCAATTTCAATCAGCATTCAAGGTACAACTACAATCAATAAAATAGCATTACTGCCCTTACACAGCCTATGGTTGAAAACAATAGAAATTGACACATTCTAGGTGTAATTACACACCATCTATCTTTTCTCTCTCTCTCTCTCTCTCTCTCCCTCTCTCTTTCTATCTACATACATGTATGTACATGTATCTCTATAATCTATATATCTATCATTTTCTTTCTCTATTTTTCTCTTCTCTTCTCTTCTCTTCTCTTCTCTTCTCTTCTCTTCTCTTCTCTCTCCCTCTCCCTCCATCTCTCTCTCTCCCTCTCTCTCTCTCCCTTCTCTTCTTTCTCCTCTGTAGTTGTTAATTTCAAAATAAAACAGATACTTGTATGAGCATGCCCTTCTTATCATTTCTATCTAAATATTGTTTATCACTCATTACCTTTATCTATTTTATGATGTTACCTGCATGTTTGCATCCATGTATTACAGGCCCACGTACAGGTGGCAACAATATTACCTCACTAGAGTTATAAATGGTTATCTGTACATTGTACAGTTGGTTGAACCTTTACTCCATGTTTAGCACTTCACTTTTTCTATCCTTACGTTCAGAGTACAAGTTGACATAAACATTTCAAATGACTCCCACCCTACCCCATAGCAGTCAAACATTGACATCTGTGTTTATCATTCTCCTCAACTTCTATACAGTAACCTACATACCTATGGCATCATGTGTACCATTTTCCTCTGGTAGACATTGGTTTGTTTCCTGCAATGATTCCATTGTATTCCTTCCTGATTCCGATCGATCAAAAGCTACTGTAAATAACTGTTCCTTTCTGCTTCACAATCAAATATCAAGTGTATCATCAAATACAAGCACAAAACATCATATTCACTGCAACTCCAAAGGAAAATATTTCACAGAAAGTCTGACTTTACTTTGGTTCTGAAGGCACTTATATCTTATATTCTGGTAATCATGCCAAGGCTCATTTCCTACAAAAGAATACAAAACAAATGCATGTACTGCACGCTGAGTTGTCAACCTGTCTGTGACTGAGCTGAGGTGATAGGGATGTGCTCGTGGCCGAACGGTGGAGCTCCAAATCTTTAATCAAGTGAATCCTCTAGCCATATATGGCTTGAACAACAAACTAATTTAAGGCACTCTTTCCCACTAAACTGCATACATGTAGGTAGGTAGGTTGATCTAGTTTATATACCGGTAGTTGATGTTTATTCACCAAATGATGTTCAGGCAGCCTTGTGATTCAAAATAATTGAAAAGCTGGTTGAATTGAACAAAGCAGCACATTCACTCCTTACCTTCATAGAGGATTTAACTCTTTCTACAAATGAAGGGCAAAATAAGAAGTCTAGATTATTTTTTCTTTATAACTCCTCAATTGAGAATAGCTATGAAGCATAGATACACATCAATAACAACTGTTCATGTTTTTGTATTAAAAGTTTTCATACAAAAGAAAACTCTTCAAGAATCAGCTATAGGCAATCTGGTCTACCCTTTTTTTTCAGACATCAGTCTCTTTTGGCACAAACATTGTATTATAAGATGTTTGTAATGATGTAGTGACCACTACTTTTCATAATTTCCACTTGTATGGTACATATAGTAAAGTTGCCTTTGATAAAACAGCCATGGAGCTCTTTATAAGTTCATAACCTTTTTACAATTCCAATCAATGAAAATCAAATGTCATGTTTCCCAATGAGACGCATTCGCTGGATAGAGTAAATCCTTTCTAAGTCCTGTGATGAGCTGAATATATAATAATGTCACAGTATTAGGGCAGTGATGGTCACCATGCATCGCGCATCCACACCATAAGGCACCATCATGTATCCTCACATAGACACTACACCCATCCACTGGACGATAACCTAGTGAGAGTTATTGAGTACGTCCGTTCCCAACCAGGCTATCCTGCTACGATGCACACAAGCCGGTATACACTGACTACCACGGAGCACTGGTGTATCGGCTACTGAGGCTTTAGTGACCCTGCAGGGATATTTGGGGGATGATTCATGTGTATAGGCCCTGCCTGAGCTGAGCTGAGCTGAAGTGCTGCTAACTCTATCTGCATGACTGGAGTTCAGTAGGATCAGGTTACATGAGGGAGCTGTTTAACTTATGAACTTGATATCTGGATGGCGGTCTGTTGACAGCAACCATGGCTTGACGCACACACATGGCTGCCTGGTATGCTTGATTGACAACTGCTGCTGATGCCTTGATGCTAATCAGCTTGTTTTCATGGTGCAATTAAACGGGTAGCATTTGACATTTTCAATTGTTGATTGCAGATTTACATTGTAATTTATAAAAAAAGGTAAACTTTAAAGCGGTTGATGAGAAATATCTCTCTCTCTCTTTACAATGGACGGTTAAATATATACCCAATATTGTATGATATTATTAGCCCATATAATCTGTAACAAAACTGTAAGGGTAACATAATGCTGGAAAAATTAAATGACTTGCCATTAATAAATGTATGTACAGTACATGAATAATATATGAATGAATAAATAAAATAAATCTTTTCTGAACAATGTTACCAAGTCCCTAGAAGACACACTTCTGCAAAGATTTCCCCCAAAAAATGTGTTTGCAGACAAAAATTGATAAAAGAATACATCAATAGGGCTTTCTTTTGTACACAGAAAACCTAAATTTTATATTCTTTCATCAATATTCAACTTCTTCAAACACATTTGTTTTGAAAATCCTTGAAGAAATGTGTCTTAAATGACAAGTAAAATTTTGCCATCAAATTTTTGGAGCTCCCAACACTTTAGAGGAGCTTTTAATAAATAAATAAATAACATGACTAATATTACACCTTGTTTAACCAGGGTAACCGCATCAGTATTAATTCTGTTCTCCCGAGGGCCCCTCAATCATATTTCAAGGGTTAAACATGGCCAACACAACCAAATGTACTTGTACTGTAAGTATACCTTTAAAGTCAAGACTAGGAAAATGAATTTGTTAGTATCTGTGTCATTAATATTTCCTTGTTTCACTATTTAAGGTAAGCCATTAAATGAAGATTATAAAACAAGTCTACGTCACGGCAGCATTTCTCAACCTATATGTAGTCATTAACCTACAGTTTCTGTTTCATTTTGTCTCTAAATTACATAGAGCCTACACAGAAATTCTATGCAGTCACAGAACTTATATGTAAGGCAAAGAAGAAATGAAGGTCATGGGTTAAAGCCCAAGCATTGAACTAATATTCTTTGGCAAGGCGTTCATCCAGATCGAGCACGAGATCTTTATTTACTGGGTGTAAGCCATAAATGTGTTTAAAACATTTGAAATTTCTTGCAGGAAGCATATACATTTATACAAAACTTTGCCCCAATGGCGGATTAATGAATATTAATAAGTCAGAATGAATAAGGAGAGCTTGGGTATTTGTTTCTAGTTCATCGTGACTGTGCCATGGACCATTGATGGCCTGGTGGTAGAGTCGCTGCCTGGCAAGCAGTAGATGTCAGGTTCAAATCCTGCTGGTTCAAAAGAAATAATAGAAGTATTGATGGGAGCATCGCTTTGATCTCCCATGACTCCACTCCTGTGTATGTGCATACATAGTCTTCTTTTTGTACCAGATGATGATAAATATTTTTTCTGACTTGTTTTCAATTACAGATCGAGCATGTAATCTTTATTTACTGGGTTTAAGCAAAAAATGTGTTTAAAACAATTAAATAATTAATCTCATGTTGTCACTCTTATGCCATGGGATACCTGATAGGACGAATTCCCATCCGTCTTAACAGCAGGACCTACAGACACTAATACATTATTAAAGAGCTAAACATTTACTGCATGTATTGTGATTATTAATGTCAGTTTAAATCCGTATCTGCTTTGGTCAGTTCATGGAACATTCAAGTCAACAAACAGTGGACTGCTAAAGTCTACTTTTGCACACAATGTGTATGTAACAATCTGTGGCAGTCGAGGGTTTTAAAAGGCAGCAAATAGAGTGAAATCAACTATAAGTAGTATAAATAACCATGCAAAAAAAGATTTGAAATGTAGAGTGAGTAACCTTCAGACAAAAAATAAAAGTAAATATTACATTTACACACATATATACCATTTGAATTTTTTGTTCAAAAGATCCATTAATGCGAGAACTACGACACAGAATACGCTTGATTTTAAATAAGCATTAGACTAGTAAGGATACTAATAATCATCCATTTCCTCATGACTGGTCATGAGGAAAATCTATAGTCCTTCTAGACATACATCTCTAATACAACAAAAGTAAGTTAGTATGATAAATTCATACATTACAGGGATTGAGTGTGGAGATAAATCAACTGACAAGGATACATGACATGTGTATGTATAAAGTGCTTAGAGACATCTATTATCCAATCAAAACATGTACATGTAAGGTATTAAAGGTCTGTTCAGTCATTTCAGTGAATTTCTAGACAGATTTAAATACCTTTCGACAAAAGTAATACACACAATGTAACCAATACAGGATTAGATTTACTTTGGGAATACAGTATACACACTTCAAACATAACACACTCAAGATATCATTATGCAAGACTTTAAACATTTGCTGCTACAGTCTATGTCTAGACAGATATAACCGTTTGGTTTAGGGAATTCTTAAATAAAACTTGTATTTTTTGGTTTTGTAACACAAACAATGCGGAGTTATCTTAATTGCTACTGTACATAGATCTAGGTCTATTTAAGAAGCAATTTTTGCCCCAATCTGGCAAAGATGTTTGTCCCCAGTTTGTCTTTAACCAGACCTAAATAAAATGTACTGTTGCGGCTGTTAACAAATAGCTGAATAGGGTCGGGGGACCACAAAAATTACGAATATAAACAGTAATCATATCAACATCAACAATAATTATGATGGCATCAACAAATTTTTTTTCCCATGCCCTCGATAGCCTGTTGCTGACCTCAACAGATCGCATTCGATAGCAACAACAAACAACATGCGACGTAATCGGGCGTTGAGGTCTCCCTTCATTTTGAAAAAACGTCATATAATTAGAAAATGCGGAACATAGCTGAGAACGTTGGGCCCAATCAGTATTAACGCTCAAATATCTGTAAAACCAAGGAAATTTTCACCAACAAAACAGACTATTTTATTGTTCCATTTGTTACATTTGTTTAAAGATGGGCAACACTACACTTAGGGAGGCCAATGCCCAAATCTAACTTTTTAATTACTAATTTGTTTATACTAAAACTAAGATTAAAAGAAAGCATTTACTTTCACTAAGAAAATCCACCCATCTGCCGACTCCATAGGTTCCATCAAATAGGAGATATCCAGCTGGTTTGTAGCCATTTCCTTCTACGCCTTTCCGTACGTAAGAGCCTTGAAACAATTATATTTCATGTCGCAAAGTTACGTTCATAATTAGACAGGCCCGAGGGACAAAGTTCATGATGAAGTTTAAAACTTCGCGCGAAAGTGCAATCACTCAACAGCGGCTAGCCTTGAATCGGTCGCACACGTACACACCTTCTTCTTAAGTTGATCCCTCCACCGACACAGGCAAGCCCCGATGCAGGCTGAAGTCCAGCCATCAATGTGCGAACGATTACATCTTCTACTACTACGAGGCGAAGACGATGGTTCAAAAAAGGAAAGAAATATATATAATTCATTGATATTTACCTTAGATGTGTATTCCAATAATTTGATTTCCTCATGAGTATTCCTTATTATCAACGATCGAGAAGTTACGAGGTCCAATTAAAATCCATCTTGCAGCGAACACAATCATAGCGCACATCCATGCATGCACGTACGTGTACTAATATTTCTCTCTCTCTCTCTCTCTCTCTCCCTTTCGCTATACGTAACATACACACTCACTAACCATGTACCATACAACACACACCTTCAAATCATGGCTTTCATTTCAATTCTCAATTGGAGTATAGACTGCTCACGTAGACTTTTTTTTTTACTGAAATATCTTTTTTAACACTTCTCATACATTACTGCACGACACTCGTATCTAGTGCTGTGAGAATAAGGTACTAGGGTCTATAAATAAGACTACGCCTTTGCGCACGATCTGACCGGAGCTCAGATTATGTCGCAATACCCTTTATTTTTGGCGCGAACAATGACGTCACTGTTCACTGTTTTCCTTCTCATTTTGAGATGGATGTAGCTATAGGGCTCAAACCAACGCAAGATTGACAGAAACATCGTACTCTATCTACTTTCGAATGTTCAGTTTGTAAAAATCTGTATTTAAAAAGATACAATCTTTTTTCTTTATATTTTCTAGTTGTTAGAAGTGGCAATTGTGAACATCTGAAATGTTGATCTCTATCAAAAGTTCTTTACTCAAAACGGATCCCATATTTTTAGGGTCTACCTTCTGCCAATGAGAAGGTTTTTAGTGAGCAAACCTCTACGCCCTCTAGGATTTTCTTAGTCGGTGGTGCGAGTGCGTCAAGGTCGTCTGCAACCACAATTATTGGAATAAAAAACGTCAAAATCTGCAAGATTGTCAACAAATGGTGAAAGACTGTTACAGATCCGTGATTATAGGTATGTTGTGAAATGTATAATTGTATTTTCTTTTCATATTTTCTTCAATTTTTATTTTTACATCATTTTTTTCCCTTTGCTAATTTTTTGAAGTGGGCGACGAGCGCACAAATCGTAGGTGTAGAAGCCTTACGCCCGGGCATTGGCCTCCCTACTACACTGCAGTACATTTATGCAAAATTTTGTAAAAACCTGCTGTATGCTACTTTCAAATGGTTGGATGAACAATTTATTGAAGAAATCCAACCATTTGAAAGTAGCATACAGCAGGTTTTTACAAAATTTTGCATAAATGTACTGCAGTGTAGTGTTGCCCATCTTTAAACACAGCCAGGATAGTATTAGCAATGCTGCTATATGTGTGGGTCATCTTCATCCTGATCCTGCCCATCCCACCTCGCTCTCTCTTCAATCTTAAACTCCGCCCTCCCTCAGCCTGACCTGGCCGCACAGGTTCCCCATTTAGTGATTTACCCATACTAGAGGTCTACGACAATTTTCTCTAACATACTAACCTTCTAAACGGGAGAAATCAGTCATAATTGTCGTTGTCCTCCGAATGGGCAA